CTCCCGGGTTCAAGAGATTCTTGTGCCTCAGCCCAGCTTTTTTTTTTTTTTTTAAGAGAGTCTTGCTCTGTTACTCAGGCTAGAGTGCAGTAGTGTGACCAGAACTCACTGCAGCCTCAAACTCCTGAGTTCAAGCATTCCTCCTGCTTTGGCCTCCCAAATGTTGGGATACAGGTGTGAGCCACCACGCTCAGCCCTTCCCTGTTTTCTCTTTCTTTGGCCACCTTCCCCTGCTCATCTCTCTGCTCTGCCAGCTCCTACCATTCTTCCTTCCAACTCCCAGGAATGTGCTAGCTGGCTGCGAGCTCTCTTTCCTGGGGATGCCCTCCTCACTCTTGTCTTGGGTTTACAGGAGTCTCCGCGGCTTACCGTGGCACCTGTGTGCCCTCAGTTGGTTGTCTGAACCCCACACTTCTCTTGTTCTAAGGGACCCTCGTGGTCCCTGTGGTGCCTCCTTCCATACTTCCAGGCCCTGTGCCACTGGCACACCCTGTCCACAGGTCCCCTTCCCAGCACCCGGCCAGACTGAGTGTCCGCGTCTCTGTCAGGGAGTAAATGCTGAGTCAGAGCAAACCCCGGGGTACAGTGCTGACCCCTCCAAAGCTCACTTTGTTATTTTGGTTTCCTCACCATTGTACTTGAGAGACCTTAGCTGCCATATCTGCTTTGTAGGGGTTGTGCCCATTAGAGCTCCCTGCCCTCTCTTCCCTCTCATTTGGTCTAGGCCTGGCTTTTATCTTAATTTTTCATTGAATCTCTTTTCAAATGCAGATGCATCAGGCTGCCAGCTTCTTTCATTTAGGCATCTGGGCCTTTGACACCTTGCTGTGAGTTAGTTTATTAGATTTATTTTGGAGCCAGGTGGCTAGGGGAAAGGAAATTGAAGAGGGAGGTGCAGTGCTTCCATTGATTTCTGGGGAGAGGCCTTCCCCGATTCTCCAGCCCCTGACAGACATTGCGTGAGGGCTCACGGTTAGTGGGCCAGTCCCTGGTGGGTCCACAGGTGTCTGTAGTCACAGGCTGGAAGCATGATGTGTGCAAACATCCCAGTCACCACTCACCGGGTCTGCCCTCCCTCATAGCACTTTAGCCAGGCATCTATTACTGAGGTGAATAATGTTTCGTGTTTGTAGATCAAAAATAGTGGAATAGTTTCAATGTCATATGGTTCTGCTGCTAAGTGTTATGCAGGGGGAGTCTGAGGAGCGTTGAGATCACTGAGAAAGAGGCCGGGCGCGGTGGCACATGCCTGTAATCACAGCACTTTGGGAGGCTGAGGAGGGCCAATCACCTGAGGTCAGCAGTTCAAGACCAGCCTTGCCAACACGGTGAAACCCCTTCTGTACTAAAAATGCAAATATTAGCTGGGTGTTGTGGCACATACCTATAATCCCAGCTACTCAGGAGGCTGAGGCAGGAGAATCATTTGAACCCAGGAGTCTTAGGCTGCAGTATTTCATGCCGATGCAGGTGCTTTGGGATGAACTTCCTAGGGTTGGGCTGGGAGAAGGTAAGTACACATTGTGCCCTGGAGGACACTCATATCCCCCCTGCCTGACCCCATCACCACTCACTCATCCAGCCACCAGTTCCCCTAAACTGCTGCTTTGAGAAAGCCCACTCCCTGTATGCAGGAAACTTACTGCTGAGCCTCCCTCCCAGAGCTTCCTGCGGTTGCACAGGCCTCTCTAGAGCCTCTTCTTCTGCCCTGGGTGCCCCCATGCCTACCGTGCTGACTGCAGGTGCTGACGCGCACCTGCGGCTCGGCTCCAGTCCCCAGACGCAGGCTGCATCAGGGCAGGGTCTGCCTCCGCTGCCCCTCCCCACACACAGCCAGACAAGCGCAAATGAAGCCTCCTCTCCTGCAGCCACTAACCAGCTTTGTGGCTGGTGCTGCCCTTGTCACGCTTTGGGAGGTCTCTGGGCATTTGGCTTCTTTTCAGAGTGGACCATGTGGACCATAGGGAGCCTTGGGCCTGAGCTTGTCTACTCCTTGGCCACACTGAGCTGTGCCTGCCTTGCCAGCATCCGCCTGGCTCTCTTGGTCCTTCACAAAGACTCACGAAGGCCCCTCTTCCAGGTGCTGGCACACGGGCAAGGAGTCCTAGAAGAGAGGCCTGCAGATTCTGCTCTCAGCAAGCCTGTCGTCTAGTGGAAGAGACTGGCCAGGACACACACCCATGTGTGGATGCTGCTGTGGGTTGGCGGCAGGGCTCGAGAGTGTGCCGTTAGGCACATGAATGGTCGAGTCTTCAAAGGTGAGCTGCTGGGGCTGGGTGTGATGGCTCACGCCTGTAATCCCAGCAATTTGGGAGGCCAAGGCAGGCAGATCACCTGAGGTCAGAAGTTCCAGACCAGCCTGGTCAACATGGCGAAACCCTGTATCTTCTAAAAATACAAAAATTAGCCCGTATGGTGGTGCACGCCTGTAATCCCAGCTACTTGGGAGGCTTAGGCAGGAGAATTGCTTGAACCTGGGAGGTGGCGGTTGCAGTGAGCCAAAAATCACACCACTGCACTCCAGCCTGGGTGACAGAGCAAGAGTCCATCTCAGTAAAAAAAAAAAAGGTGAGCTGCTGTCTGCCCAGCCAGGGGTCGGGGGAGACCAGCAATCTGGCTGGAGAAGCCTCTCATCTAGCCCTCCAAATGAAGAGTGAACAGTCACTCTGGCAGGACATCCAGCACTGGGGTGGGTTATAGCTGAGGTGAGGCATATCTCCATAGCCCTGCCTGCACCCTCAGAAGGTCAGCAGTCCTGAGAGTCCAGCACTGCAGTCACTGACCCCCAGAAAGCCTCTCTGTCCATGCAAATAAGTCTGGCCAGGGATGGTGATGCATGCCTGGAATTGCAACAGTGGGTGGCTGAGGCAGGAGGATTGCTTCAGCCCGGGAGTTTGAGACCCATCTGGGCAACATAGGGAGACCCCAGCTCTACACACACACACACACACACACACACACACACACACACACACACGACAACAACAAATTAACTGAGTGTGGTGGCATGGACCTGTAATCCCAGCTACTGGGGAGGCTGAGGTGGAAGGGTGACTGGAGCCCAGAAAGCTGAGGCTGCAATGAGCTGTGATTGCATCATTGCACTCCAGCCTGGGACACAGCAAGACCTTGCTTCAGAAACAAACACACAAAACAATCAAATAAATAAGTCTGTATATGTAACACCTTTTGCTGGGGTTCTGGCAGCCTCTGCACCACTGCCAACATGTCATAGCCCTTCTCCCATGGACATTGAGACCTACCTACTCTTGTTAGCAGATGTGTATGTATAGATGTTATTTATGTATTTATTTTTTTGAGACAGAGTTTCACTCCTGTTGCCAGGCTGGAGGGCAATGGGGTGATCTCGGCTCACCACAACCTCACCTACTGGGTTCAAGCGATTCTCCCGGCTCAGCTTCCCAAGTAGCTGGGATTACAGGCATGCGCAACCATGCCCAGTTATTTTTGTATTTTTAGTAGAGATGAGATTTCTCCATGTTGGTCAGGCTGGTCTCGATCTCAGGTGATCCATCCACCTCACCCTCTCAAAGAGCAGGGATTACAGGCGTGAGCCACCACGCCCTGCCATATAGATGTTACTTTACAGGCTGGCTACATATTTATTTTTCCCAGAACGATGGGCATCTAGGTAGTTTCCCATTTTTTAGCCCTGTATCTCAGATATTGCTACAAATAAAATCAAATCTGTCTGGGTGTGGTGGCTCATACCTGTAATCCCAGCACTTTGGAAGGCGGAGGCAAAAGGATCGCTTAAGACCAGCCCAGGCAACATAGGGAAACACTGTCTCTACAAAACAAAAACATTTGCCAGGCGTGGTGGTACCCACCTGTGGTCCCAGCCTGCGAGGCCAAGGTGGGAGGATAGCTTCCCCTTGGGAGGTGAGATTGCCTTAGCTATGATTGCACCACTGCACTCCAGCTTGGGCAACAGAGCAAGACCCTGTCTCTTGAAAAAATAGTAATAAAAGATAAAATAAACAACAATAAAACAACCAAGTCTTTTGGTTATAAGTTACAGGAACCAACTCCAGCCTAAGCATAGCAGGGACGTAAAGCCCCTGGAACCAGCTGTAGGGCAGGCGGTGCACCGGCACTGGGCCAGCCCAGCACTACTGGGGCTCCTACGCCGACTGCCTAGTTGCTGCCCACTGCACTGTGGCACTGGGGCTTTTGCCCTGTGATGTGCGGCCAGTAGGCAAGCAGGCTCACTTCTCTCTGCCTCTGCAGCACCCTCAGTCCCTCTGGCTGACTGGCCCTGGGGGTTTTAGTAGGGTGGGGTCCTAGAAGTGGGGCTGTCAGAGGTGCAGATTTTACTCACGTGCACTGTACCCGTGTGCCTGTGAGTGTGGGAGCCTGCAGCAGACCCCCGGCCCTCCGCTCTGCCTGCAGAAGCAAGCTTGTGGCTCCCCATCCTCTTTCTGCACCCTTCTCAGCGTTTCTCTGAGACTCTTCCTTCCCCTGCATCTTTCTTCTCTTTTCTTTCTCTGAATGGCATACAGCCTCTCCCTGTCCCTTGTCCCCGTCTCTGGGTGAATCCAGTGACACCACCCCTCAGGCTCTGGGCTCTTGTCTTACCGTGGACACTGGGAGGTGGGCACTGTGGTGAAGTAGTGACCGGACCAGCTCTGGATTTAGGCTTGGCCTTGGTCTCCCCATATGTAAGATGGGGGTGATGGCAGGGGGTGAGGGCACTGAGGCTCTCGGGCCTGGAGCTGTCCTCACGGGGGCTGCTGGGAGGTTTGGCTGGGCCTCTGTGTAGGGTCCAGCCCTACAGGGTTGTGAGTCCCTCCTGGCTGTTGCAGAGACAAAAAATTATGGAAATAAAAGGCACAAGACACAGAGATCAAGAAAAGAGAGTTTGGGCCCAGGGGTCCACTGCTACCCAGATCGCGGAGACCAGCAGTGGCCCCTGAATGCCAGGACGCTCTCACTTAATAATTGAGTTGCAAATCTGGGGGCAGGGAAGGTAGGGTGTAGGTAGGGCGTGGCCTTGGTGGTCTGTTACTAGGGGCAGGGTAAAATAGGGCATGGCATACAGGTGAGGGCTCAGGAATTTTCAGCACCCCAAGTGAGGTAAGGAGCATAATGCATCAGCACTTTTTCCATATGTATCAAGAAAGAACAAAAACATTAGGATTTATATTACTATTACTGATTATCTTTTCTAAGAAAAAACGAGCCAGGTGCAGAAGCAGAACATGAGAGTGGACCTGGAACGTGACCACTGAAGCACAGCGTCACATACGGACAGTTAAGCCCCAGATGTCTGCGGGTGTCCTGACAGCCGTCAGGCCTCACCACAAGAGCTTGGAGAAGCGGAGTTTTCTCCCAACTTCCCCAGGAAGGCGACATCTCAGCCATCTTGGACATCTCCTCCCCTAGCTGGCTAAACAGCGGGCGCTTTCACAGCGCTGGCGCTGCCGCACAGCCGAGGCGCCCTCCAGCAGCCCTTATGCGGGTGTGACAGAGGACTTAGCGCATCTTGCCTTAGGGTCATTCATTTCACAATGTGACCCCAGGTTCACACTTCCGACCTGAGAGGCATTAGTAAAGGAATTAAGATCACCTATGAATAACTAAGATCACATATAAATAATAACTACTACAATTATATTTCTAGTTACTTTCTTCTTTATTATTTATATAGAAATAGTCTGAGGCTTTTTGCTTCTGCCTCAGTGCTTATGGGGCCTTTTCCCTACACCTCTGTGCCCTGCTGGGCCTCCCTTGAAGCCGCGTGGCCCAGGGGTATGCAGGCTGAGAGGGGTCGGGGACAGTGCCCAGGATCCTGCATGGAGTTCCTTGGTGGTCTGTTATTAGGGGCAGGGACGTGCAGCTGGCCTGGTCCTTTAGCTAACTGGAATGAACTGACCAGGTTATCTGTTTGACATTCCAGGGAGGCTTGGGGAAAGGGTTATGGAGTAGAGGGAGCCGCCCTGAACAGCCTCCTCAGCCTGGGTGTGTCCATTTGTTGGGACTACAGAGCCGGCCACCCAACCTTCATGGCTCAGCTCTGTTGGGCTGTTCTGCTCGTGGCTGTCTTATGGCAGGGAGGAGTGGACAAAGCTTGGTGAAGTTCAGCTTGGGCAACCAAGATTCAGGTAGGCAGGAGACAGCCTTTCCTCCTGGAGCCCTCAGGCCACTGCTGCGTGCCTTCGGCCGGCCATTCCTTCTGAGGCTGGCTTCTGGGCAGGGAGGCCAGAGGGGTGGATGCTTAGGGGCCAGTTTGAGGGGAGCTGGGCAATGGGATACCCCCTGGCATGGGGTACCCGCTGTGGGGGGCCCTGGGACTTCTTGGGCTCACTTTGGGCACCTCTTCTCTTAGAGGAGGCAGTTGGGCCCTTGAGCAGGGCAGGAACCTGGCCAGGGTCCCACGGAAACTTTGGGCAGCTTCTAGCTGGGAAGGTGGGCCTGCCAGGGTGGGGGCCAAGTGCCCTGTGAGCCTTGGCGGGGTGGGGGAGGTAGAGCCTCCCAGCCTGTGAGCTCCCCTCTGCAGCCAGAGGGGCTGGGGGCGGGGGCTCCCATTGTCCAGATGCCGTTCTCCAACGAATTTTCACGGATGCGCTTCAAAATGAGGGAGACAGGCCTTCCGTCAGAAGCATAGCTACTGTGTTCAGTCTTTCTCTTCTGTAGGACATGGGCATCAGAATATCTTTTCTTCCTTTAAAAAAAAAAATTAAATTCTCTTACATTATTTTTTCTTGTATTTTAATTTTTATTTTTTCTCTTACATTATTTTAATTATTTTTTTAATAATATAAATTGAGATGGGGTCTTGCTATGTTGCCCAGGCTGGTCTTGAACTCCTGGGCTCAGGCGACAGTGCGGGGATTACAGGTATGAGTCACCGTGCCTGGCCCATCTTTTTTTCTATAAAATGCTGGGGACTGTAGGTGACGTCTGTTAAATCTTTTTTTTTTTTTTTTTTGAGACAGGATCTTGCTCTGTTTTCCAGGCTGGAGTGCAATGGTATGATCTCAGCTCACTGTAGCCTCTACCTCCCAGGTTCAAGGGATCCTCCTACCTGAGCCTCCCCACGAGCTGGGACACAGGCATGCACCACCATATCCAGCTAATTTTTAAATTATTTTGTAGAGACAGGTCTTACTCTGTTGCCCAAGCTAGTCTTCAACTCCTGGGTTCCAGTGATCCTACTACCTTGGCCTCCCAAAGTGCTGGCATGAGCCACTGTTCCCTGACCGTTAAATCTTAATCTTCCTATGGCTGGAGAGAGACGGGGGGCCGGGCAAGGGCAGCCTCCCTGGCTCTTGGCTTGTGATCTCTTTGTGTTGGGGTGGGGGTGAGTAGCCATTGCCCAGGTGGGTTCTTGGCAGGTCCAGAGATGCCAATGACAGAGAGGTGAGGATCTCACTTTGCCAGCCCTGTTGAGGGGAGGGTGTGGGCTGTGGGTGGGTGGCTGGCAGGGAGGGATGGCTCCATGCCAGATGTGGTCTGCCTCCAGTCCTTATGGATGGGAGCTGGCAGGATGCCTGCAGGACTGGCTCTCCCGCCTCTCTGGTACCCATGCCGTGTCTCTAGTGGGCAAGGGGAGGACCTGGGAGCCTGGGCAGGGTGTCTGGCCAGTATGTACGTGCCCTGGCCTCTGCAGTCTACAGATCTGGCCAGGATTGGGAGCAGGTTGCTCGGAGGGAGAGTCATTGCTTGGAAAAGTGCTTTACCTGGCAGACAGCAAGCCAGGCTGGGGCTACTGGCCTTATTGGCCATGTCCTTAGGAAGCCTCTGAAGCCAGGCTTGCAGAGGGGGACTATGTCTAGAGTGGGCGAAACCTGTAAAGTGGGGCTCCCAGATAAACTGGGGGCCCTTGAGTGGGAAGGACCTGACTGGCTTAATCTGACCTGGCCCAGGACAGTTCCCTTCCTGAAAGAAGGGGGCAGTCTCTGAAACCCCTGGCTGCAGGTCCAGCAGTGGAGTTGGGTCAGTGTGTGAATGGCAATGAGGCCTGGCTAGGTGGAGAACGGGACTCCTGGCAGGCATCCTCTGCAGAAGACGGAGCGCTTTCTGAGGTGCGGCCCATGGCCAGTCCAGCAACCACACTTGGCGTATCGGGCAGGACTTGGGCCATAGCAGGTGCACAGGCAGGGTCCTGTCCCAGCCAAAGCTGCCTGCCTGCCTGTCCCCATAGGCATAAGCCAGGCACCCGATGGGGGCTTTTATTGCAGCCCAGGACGGCTGAGGCATTGTGGGACCCCAGCAAGGAAGAGGTCTAGACGCTGGGCAGTGGGAGGCTGGGGTGTTGGTCAGGATAGGCTGAGGCCCGGGAGGCAGGGCCTGCACTTGAAGGCAGTAGCCTGCAGAACCCTCATGGTTGTCCCAGGAGACTCGCCCTGCCCAGCCTGAGGGCAGTGCCTGGCCCTGGAAGAGCAGCCTAGCAGTGACTGCCTTGCTGGGATGGGCAGCCCTTTCTGGAAAGGGTGGGTGGGAGGAGCCTGACATGCCTTTCCCCACCTCTCTGAGTGTGGGGCAGGATGAGGCAGAGCTGTTCCCCGTATCCTCAGGATTATTGCCCTGCAGTGCTCTCTGCAGACAGAGGGCAGTGCCTGAGACGGCCGGAAGCCTGGTCTCACCTGAGGCCCAGGACAGGTCCTCCCCCGGGGCCGCCCTGCCCAGAGCCGGTCTTGATAATGTGCTTCCTTGTTCTCCACTTCCCAGGTGTGCAGCCGGAAGGGGAGGTACTTGTGAAGACGCTGTCGGCTGGCCCCCTGTGCCCTTGGTGCCCTGGCTGCCTAGAGAGCCTCAGCGCTGGGCCCTGGGGCCAGGACTCCAGGACTCTGACCACCTGCCTTCCCGCAGCCTCCGTGGCTGCGCCCCCCTCATTAGCACTGATGCTAGTACAGATGCACTGATCTCGGACACAGGGGACACAGCCGGGAGGCGTTGTGGGGCTGGGCCATGGCTGCTCCCAGGTCCTACCCAGGCGCCTGAGCCTAGAAGGTGAAAAGAGGGCTCTCAGGGGCTCGATGCTGATTGGCCCTGCCCTCCCTTCCCCCCAGCAAGGTGCCAGGAAGCTGGAGCTTTGTTATCTGGGTAATTAGCTTCAGACCCTGGACTGAGGCTGGCCAGGTCTCGAGGCTGCTTCCCGCAGGCTGTGCACCCTGACCCTTGGAGGGAGGCGAAGTGCTGCTGGTCGACAGCTGGAGACCGGCCTGGGGATCAGGTTCGGGGTGCCCTCCCACGCTGCCCTCCCTGCCCTGGCCCACACTCCCAGGGCTGCCTGGGCCTGGTTATCGCGTGGGGCCTCCTGACCCAGCCAAGAGCACGGAGCTTTGGGAAGGGGATGCCCCCGAGGGTGTCAGTCCAGTCAGCTGCCCCACCCCTCAGGCCCAGCCTGGCCCCCAAGCTCCCCACTCTGGTGCCCCGAGCAGCCCTGTGGGCAATCAGCCCCCGCCATGGCCGAGCACCTGGAGCTGCTGGCAGAGATGCCCATGGTGGGCAGGATGAGCACGCAGGAGCGGCTGAAGCATGCCCAGAAGCGCCGTGCCCAGCAGGTGAAGATGTGGGCCCAGGCTGAGAAGGAGGCCCAGGGCAAGAAGGGTCCTGGGGAGCGCCCCCGGAAGGAGGCAGCTGGCCGAGGGCCCCGGAAGCAGGTCCTCTTTCCTCCCAGTGTTGTCTTTCTGGAGGCTGCTGCCCGCAATGACCTAGAGGAAGGTGAGTGTGGTTGAGCCCCAGGGCAGCTCCCCAAGGGCAGCCTGCTTCCTGCCACTGGGTGCCATCTCATGCCAAAGCTGGGGGCTGGGCCCGTCCACAGCTCCTGGGCTCTAGCCCCCAGATCTTGCCTGGTCTCTTCAGGCTGGGTGGCCCAGGTTCCCCCTGTCAGGGAAGCAGTGGGCAGCCCTGAAGTCAGCCCCTGCTGGGACAGCTGTCCTTTAGGGAGAGGCTGCATGCAGAGGAGGTCCTGCTGTGAGGTGAGCCAAGGCCATGGGGTGGAGACCCAGGAGCCCACAGAAGCACCCAGTGTGGGGTCCAGCAGGAGCAGGAGTGGCTGGTAGTCATTACTACCTCTTATGAGGCTGCTGAGATGCTCAGGAGAGCCCTGGACTCCATCTCTGTAAAGTAGGGTGGTACCACTTGCCTCTGGATTAGAGAGCCAAGCCCTGGGTAGGCACAGAGCCCATGCTGGTGGGCTCCCTCTCAACGCCTGCCTCAGGCTCTGCTTTTGACTCTGTCCTCCTCACCTGTGTCCCACACTTTTGCAGCCCCAGCTGTGTGGGTTCCACTTCTGGTGCTGTGGGGTCTGGGAGGAGGAGGCACTGTGGTGGCCCTTGAGACACCTTCCTGCCTCCCTGCAGCAGACAGAGTAAGGAGTAGCTGGCAGTTCCTGGCCTGCATCCTCCTATGTAGACAGGAGCCCTTCCGGGAGGCCTGGAGGCAGAGGGAGGAGGCAGAGGGTGCCGTGGTGCCACAGGGAGCCGTGGGAAGGCGTGGAGCCCTCCTGCTGCACCCCAGGCACCGTCAGGGAGGACACTGGTGACCTGAGCGAGAGCCTGGGCCTGAGCTGGGATCTCTGAAGGGGAGGGGAGCAAGGGCAGGCCTGTGCTCTAGTGGTGGGGAGCCTCGGGTCAGGTCCTGGAGGACTGGGGGAGATGGTGGACACAGGGCTGGCCTGGTTGTCGGGGAAATGCTGAGGGAGCTACCGATTCCTATGAATGATGCCTCCCCAGCCCAAGGCACTGCCTGGCTGCGGTAGCCTCGGGGCAGGGAGCCCTTCTCGGGGGAAGGGAGGTGTGGGATTGTTGGAGGGCTCCTCTCACACTGGAGGAGGGCCTGTTGTGGGGGTTGGGAGGTTGGAGCATGTCCACAAAGGGCCTGCAGATGGTTGGAGGCAGAGGGCTTCTGGGAGTGCAACTAGCCTGGGGCAGACAGATGCCTGGTGCTCCTGCCCCCACCTCCTGGGATCTGGTGTGCCTCCTGTCTTGGGTACCACTGTCTTCCTTGTCCTTTCCCAAGTCCTGGGCTGAAGCACAGTTGACTACGGTACTCTAGGCCCAGGCCTGAGCAGGGACAGGACCCTGTCCTCACCTCGCCACCATTTTGCAGTCCGCCAGTTCCTTGGTAGTGGGGTCAGTCCTGACCTGGCCAACGAGGATGGCCTGACGGCCCTGCACCAGGTCAGCCTGCACTGGGGGTGGGCGGGGCAGGGGGGGGCCCCAACGCTCTGGCTGCTCACGCTGCATGGTTTGCAGTGCTGCATCGACGACTTCCGAGAGATGGTGCAGCAGCTTCTGGAGTCAGGGGCCAGCGTCAATGCCTGCGACAGTGAATGCTGGACGCCTCTGCATGCTGCGGCCACCTGCGGCCACCTGCACCTGGTGGAGCTGCTCATCTCCAGGTAGGGCCGGCTGGGCGCCTGTGGCAGGGAGGGGCTTTCTCTCAGATGGCAGCTTGCGGGGCTCCTCTCGGGCAGTATTCCTGGCTCTCAGCCTCCTGTGCTCCCGCCTTCACCTTTGCTGACCCTGCCTGTGTCCTGCATGGAGAGCAAGGCCTGGGGCCCCAGAGAAATGAGCATGTGCCCAAGGCAGCGTTGCCCACCCAGTATGCGTCGTCCTGCAGACAGGGCAGGCCTTGGGCCCCCACAGGGTGTGCACAGAGAAATGCTTTGGTCAATGAGGAGGACTGAACTGGTAAGGAGGGAAAGGGAATGAAGAAGCCAGGTGGCTTGGAAGGAGAGGGCACCTGGGCACAGGCAGGGCCTTTACCTTTAACACAGAGGGAGGCAGGGCGGGAGGGTAGTGGCCTCACCAGGGTCCACAAGCCTCCTTGCTTCCTTTTTCTTCACTCCAGGTTTCTGTCGTGGGAGAGAGGTCAGGGGCTGCAGTCATTCTCAAGTGCCCCTGTGGGGCAGGCGGGGCTGTGGGGTGTGCACAGGCAGGCCTGTTCCTCCACTGCACACGGGCACGCCCTCAGTGTCCTGGGCGCCCATTTGCCACCCTCCTTCCCTAGGTCATATTTCCTGCAGCTCTGCAGCCCTCTCAGTGTGGCTGCCTGGTCGTGTGCCCCCACCACTCTGTGCTCCCTAGGGTCCCTGGGGTCCCTGCTCCCCCAACAGGCAGGCATATAGTGCCCGTTTCTGTGGGCACTGCTGTCCCTGGAGGTGCTAGGAACCTGGAGGCCAGATGGGTACAGACTGCAGGAGGCCTGTCTAGGACTAAGCGGCAGCCGATGGGCTCCAAGGCCATCTCTCCCAGCAGCAGGCGGACCCGGTGCCTTCTCCACGGCTGCCCTGTGCCTCCTGAGGGGTTCAAGTGAAGAGCCTGGCGCATAGGGAAGGGCCCCGTGCCCAGCACCCCATGTGTCTTCCTTGCAGTGGTGCCGATCTCCTGGCAGTCAACACCGATGGGAACATGCCTTATGACCTGTGTGATGACGAGCAGACGCTGGACTGCCTGGAGACTGCCATGGCTGACCGCGGTAGGTGCGGCGCTGTGGCTGTGGGAGGGCTCCCGGGTGCACTCTCTCTGAGCCTGCTGCCTTGCAGGCATCACCCAGGACAGCATCGAGGCCGCCCGGGCCGTGCCGGAACTGCGCATGCTGGACGACATCCGGAGCCAGCTACAGGCCGGGGCAGACCTCCATGCCCCCCTGGACCACGGGGCCACACTGGTGAGGGCTGGAGGGTGAGGGGCGCGGGGGGCCGGAGGCCTTGCTACTTGGAGTGGGGGCATGGGGCTGAATTCAGGCCGGGCACTTGCCCGCAGCTGCACATCGCAGCAGCCAACGGGTTCAGTGAGGCGGCTGCCCTGCTGCTGGAGCACCGAGCCAGCCTGAGCGCCAAGGACCAAGACGGCTGGGAGCCGCTGCACGCTGCGGCCTACTGGGGCCAGGTGAGTGCAGGCGGGAGCAGGTGGGAAGGGGCTTCCTGAAAGCGCAGCCTTCTCCAGCTCCCGCTGGCCACCTACAGGTGCCCCTGGTGGAGCTGCTCGTGGCGCATGGGGCGGACCTGAACGCAAAGTCCCTGATGGATGAGACACCCCTTGGTGAGCTTGTGGGGCCCATCTCCACCCGGGGAGAGGACAGGCGGGAGAGCGCCCTGACACCTGCGCCCGCTTCTCAGATGTGTGCGGGGATGAGGAGGTGCGGGCCAAGCTGCTGGAGCTGAAGCACAAGCATGACGCCCTCCTGCGCGCCCAGGGCCGCCAGCGCTCCTTGCTGCGCCGCCGCACCTCCAGCGCAGGCAGCCGTGGGTGAGCCACCCCCAGCAGGCCCCGCCCCAGGCCTGTCCTCAAAGACGTCAGCCCCCCTGGTGGAGTGCCAGCCGAACTAGGGGCAGAGTCCAAGGGGGCAGAGTCCAAGGGGGCAGGCAGGGTTCTCCTGGCTATCTCCCTCCCCTCACCCTCCTTCTCCTCCCTTCTCCCCAGGAAGGTGGTGAGGCGGGTGAGCCTGACCCAGCGAACCGACCTATACCGCAAGCAGCATGCCCAGGAGGCCATCGTGTGGCAACAGCCGCCGCCCACCAGCCCGGAGCCGCCCGAAGACAACGAGGACGGCCACACTGACGCTGAGCTCAGGCCGCCGCCCCCAGAGGTGAGCGCCCATCCCTGCTCTGCCCAGCACAGGGATGGGCCTGGCTCTGTCCGGTTCTCTCTTGGCTTGTGCTCGGGCCTCCTGCCTGTTAGGAATGGTGCCCTGCAGAGGCTGGCTGCTGCCCTACCTCTCCTCTGACCCTCCATGACCACACAGCCTGAACCCAAGGTCGGGGAAGGGGGAGGAGCCCCTGGTGGCCTCTGGGACCTTCACTGCCCCTGCCCGCAGGACGACAACCCCGAAGTGGCTAGGCCACACAATGGCCGAGTAGGGGGTTCCCCAGCCCAGCATCTGTACTCCAAGCGACTGGACCGGATTGTCTCCTACCAGCTGAGCCCCCCAGACAGCACCACCCCCCACGCCCTGGTCCACAACAAGGCCCACCACACCCTGGCTGACCTGAAGCGCCAGCGAGCTGCAGCCAAGCTGCAACGAACCCCACCTGAGGGGCCCGAGAGCCCCGAGGCCACCAAGCCTGGCCTGCCTGATGACACGGAGACCCCCCAGCCTGACTGTGGCTTCAGGGCAGGCGGTGACCCACCCCTGCTCAAGCTCACGGCTCCGGCGGTGGAGGCGCCTGTGGAGAGGAGGCCATGCTGCTTGCTCATGTGAGGCCGTCGCTCAGCGTGCAGGGGCCCTGTCCCAGGCACAGTCCAAGGCTGCTCCCCACGGTGCCTGGCCCAGTGCTGCAGGAGGGCAGCACGGAACCCCGGCTTCTGGGCAGGACACTGGCCCCTCTCCGGGCAGAAGACATGCCTGGGGGACATCTGGCTGCAAAGACTATTTTTATCCTGCGACTCTTGATAAAGGGCTGTTTGCCATGGAGCCTTGTTGTGTGTCTCAGCTGGGCCACAGTCCCACAGTGGGGAGTGGGTTGTGCTGTTTGCTTGGGGTGCCACCCATGCTGTGAGCACAAGGCCTGTAGGTGCATGCCAGGGCATGTGGCAGCCCCAACCGTGGGGGAGTGAGGCCCACGGCAGTGGCCGGAAGCCCGGACCTCACCCACTCCCTCCCGTGCTCAGCCTCCTGGAGTCTCCTCCGTAACCCTTTGCTTTCCTGAAAGGAGCAAGGTGCTTTGAAGGAGCCTCCATGGTGGCCAGGGCTGAGGGTGTCTGTGCTAAGCGGGTGGAGGGTGGGGATCCCAGGGACCATGGCCTGGAAAGGGAGGTGATGTTTTCCACAAGACTCTTGTTCCAGAGCCAGGGGTCAAAACAAGCACGAGGCGGCGTCAGAAGCTCCCTGGGCGGGGTGTGGGTCCCCAGTTCCTGGCATGCAGCCCTGATCCTGGGGCCTGGCTGCCAGTTTCTGCCTGGGCCTGCATAGGGGACATGCAGTTGGCCACTCTGGCTCTGAGCTGGCTGGCACAACGTGTCAGGGTGAGGGGGGCCCTTAGGGGCCTCAAGCAGGAGGGCTGAGGGTACCACCAGCTAGTCTTGGTGGGTGGCTTTGCATGGCACCAGTGCTGGGTGGCATGGGTTTGACCTGTTCTCTCTCCTGGCTCAGCATGGGCCCGAGAGCCCCGTGTCCTTCGGGCCTGCTCTTCCTGGAGCATCTCCGGTTGGAAGGGTGTCCCCACAGGGCTGCTGGTTAAATTTAGTGTGGGGGGTGGGGCAGCTGCCCAAGGTCCACCTGCCACCAGGGCTGCCACTTAGGCTCCGCTGCCAGGGGGCGGGCAGGGGCTGGCTCTGCCTGAGGCCAGGCCCATATTAACCTCTGCTCTAGCCTGGGGGCCAGAGGTCCAGGCCTTCGCCGGGAGGCCGTTGTGGCAGCGGAGCAGAGAAGTGCAAGGTGAGAGGCCTGGGGCCGGCTGTCCGGGGTTCCCTATGGCTCTTCTCCCAGCCAGCAGGATCAGAGGAGCCAAGGCCCGCCTCGGGCCTGTCTGACCGTCTGCCCACAGCCCTGCTCAGAGGAGGGCCGACTCCCTGACCCCCGTGGTTCAGGTTTCATTGTGGGCCGCTGGGGTGGGCCAGCGTTGAGCGTGGCCTTTCAGCTCTGCAGGCCTGTGGAGGTGGGGCTCGGGCAGCCTATCACGACTTGCTTCCTACTCTCTCCTCCAATTGGGAACAGGAGGAACGGAGAACTCAGGTCACCTCTAGCCTGGGGTGTGTCCCAAGGGCAACCCCAGGCTGGTGCCTGGCAAAAGGGCATGACAGCAGCCATGGTGTGAGGTGTCACAGGGCCCAGGGCTAGACTGCCTGGCTCCAGGCCCTTGCCCAGCCCCTCACAGTGCTCATCAGGGACTAAGGTCCAGGTACAGCTCTTGCTGCCTCTGGGCCATGGCTGCCAGCCCTGCAGGGGCCAGATGAAACCCAGAGCCCGAACACCCCTCCCCTCCCCCCAGCACCCCCTGGATTCCTGAGGTATGGCTCAGTTACTAGGAGACAGGTCTGCAAGCCCAAGCAGATTTGGGTGCCACGAGGGCTTGGCCTCAGCTGAGTCCTGCTAGGGTAAATCCCAGCAGCCCAGGCTCCAGTCTTGCCTTGGGGGTCCCTCCTTTCCAGTTCTGCCAGCTCCTTAGGGCTGCCAGGTACCCACTTCACCCTGAGCAACCCAGGCACTCTGCCTTCTTCCCTCCCCCCATGCCTCGTCCCTTAGAGCTATCCAGACTGACGTCTGTACCTACCCCCCATGTGGGTCTCCCGCTCTCCCTTTGTGGGGACACTGGGCAGGCACTGGGCCTCGCCCCAAGCCCCGCCTGCCGCCTCACCCACTGCCTCTGCCTCCCTGGGGCAGAGCTGTGCCCAGACGAGTGGGGCGGGGCCCAACAGTCCCCAGCTCCTTCAGCCCTTCCTGCCCCTACCAGTGGGGCCTGCTGCGGTGAAGAGGGTGCCCTCTTGTCCAGAGTCCCCCTGCTACGTCTGCCCCTCTCAGCCCTGGCCTGCTGAGCCGGACCCAGCTGTACCCATTCCCACTTCTGGTCCTGCCGCCGCCTGAGCTGCCTTCCCACCTGGTCCGGGTAGAGTCATGGCCTCAAGCACAGTTGACCAGAGCCAGGTAGCAAGGAATGGGCTTCGGGAGAAGGTGCTGACGCTGAACAGCATGAACCCGAGAGTGCGGAGGGTTGAGTACGCAGTGCGTGGCCCCATAGTGCAGCGAGCCTTGGAGCTGGAGCAGGAACTGCGCCAGGTACAGCCCAGGGCCCCTTGCTGCCCTCCAGGTCACACTGCTGGTGGGTTGGCCCAGCCCCACTGACACATGGGACCGGGGCTGAAGGGTTAGGTAGGGCACAGCCTCCCTGCCTGCTCCCCTCCCCTCTCCTTCCAGGGTGTGAAGAAGCCTTTCACTGAGGTCATCCGTGCCAACATCGGAGATGCACAGGCTATGGGGCAGAGGCCCATCACCTTCCTGCGCCAGGTGAGGCTCCTGCATTGCCCAACGCCACCCCCCGCCCCGCCTGCCTGTGTGCCCCTGCCTCAGCACTCCGTCTTCCCAGGTCCTGGCCCTCTGTGTCAACCCTGATCTTCTGAACAGCCCCAACTTCCCTGATGATGCCAAGAAAAGGGCGGAGCGCATCCTGCAGGCATGCGGGGGCCACAGCCTGGGTGAGAGCTAGGGCCAGAGGAAGCAGAGAGGGCAGATCTGCCCGCTGGAGGAGGGAAGTCCCTTGGGAGGGCTGAGGAGAATTTTGTTTTTGAGGAAGAGGAGTCTCACTCTGTCCCCAGGCTACAGTGCAGTGGTGCAATCTCGGCTCACGGCAACCTCCGACTCCCTGGTTCAAGAGATTCTCTTGCCTCAGCCTCCTGAGTAGCGGGGGTTACAGGCATGCCCCACCACGCCCAGCTAATTTTTGTATTTTTAGTAGAGATGGGGTTTCACCATGTTGGCCAGGATGGTCTTCATCTCCTGACCTGTGGTCTGCCCGCCTCTGCCTTCCAAAATGCTGGGATTACAGGCATGAGCCGCCGTGCCTGGCCTGGCTGCAGAGAACCTCACCTGTGCTTCCCATCCTGCTCTGCCCCTGGGTTCAGGGGCCTACAGCATCAGCTCTGGCATCCAGCTGATCCGGGAGGACGTGGCGCAGTACATTGAGAGGCGAGACGGAGGCATTCCTGCTGATCCCCACAACGTCTTCCTGTCCGCAGGGGCCAGTGATGCCATCGTGGTAGGCCGGACCTGGGCAGGAAGACATGCCTGACACTACAGAGGGGGCACCAGGGTGGGGACGGGTGCAGCCCTAGGCCCCGCCAACCCTGCCTTCCTCTCCTTCCCCTACTCCCTGCAGACGGTCCTGAAGCTGCTGGTGGCTGGTGAGGGCCACACGCGCACGGGCGTGCTCATCCCCATCCCCCAGTACCCACTCTACTCGGCCACACTGGCAGAGCTGGGCATGGTGCAGGTGGATTACTACCTGGATGAGGAGCGCGCCTGGGCGCTGGACGTGGCTGAGCTTCACCGCGCCCTGTACCAGGCGCGTGACCACTGCTGCCCTCGCGCGCTCTGTGTCATCAACCCTGGCAACCCCACTGGTGCGTTCCCTGCCTCACCCAGCCCCGCTCTGCTCCTCCCGCACCCATGCCGGCCCCGTGGCTGCCCATTGGAGGGGCAGTTCCGTCCCTGGGCTCACCCAGCCCCGCTCTGCTCCTCCCGCACGCACCCGTGCCTGCCCCTGGCTGCCCATTGGAGGGCAGTTCCATCCCCGGGCTCACCCAGCCCTGCTACATCCCCCGCACCCCAGGGCAGGTGCAGACCCGTGAGTGCATCGAGGCCGTGATCCGCTTCGCCTTCCAAGAGCGGCTCTTTCTGCTGGCTGACGAGGTGCGCGCCACGGGGGGTGGGAAGCAGGGTAGCAGCTGGCCCCCATGATGTGACACCTCTCGCCCTTCCAGGTGTACCAGGACAACGTGTACGCGGTGGGCTCACAGTTCCACTCTTTCAAGAAGGTGCTCATGGAGATGGGGCCACCCTATGCCGTGCAGCAGGAGCTCGCCTCCTTCCACTCCACCTCCAAGGGCTACATGGGCGAGTGCGTGCAGGCGAGGCGGGTGGGGGCTCCCGTGGCACGGCTTGGCCCACTTCACGCGCTGGGCCACCCCTCCCCACCAAGCCTGGATGTGCCCCTTACCTGGCAGGTGTGGGTTCCGCGGTGGCTACGTGGAGGTGGTGAACATGGACCCTGCGGTGCAGCAGCAGATGCTTAAGCTGATGAGCGTGCGGCTGTGCCCACCGGTGCCAGGCCAGGCCATGCTGGACCTGGTGGTCAGCCCACCCGCGCCCACCGACCCCTCCTTCATGCAGTTCCAGGCTGTGAGTTGCAGGTGCTAAGGGGTCCAGATGACCTAATGGGGGTGGGCTGCCGGGCCGGGGATGCCAAGTGCCCTACCCTGATGGGCCCTCCCTCGGTGGCCACAGGAGAGGCAGGCAGTGCTGGCAGAGCTGGCAGCCAAGGCCAGGCTCACCGAGCAGGTCTTCAGTGAGGCTCCCGGCATCAGCTGCAACCCAGTGCAGGGCGCCATGTACTCCTTCCCTCGCGTGCAGCTCCCCCCGAGGGCGGTGCAGCGTGCTCAGGTCAGGCGGGGGCAGGGCCTTTGGGGTGGGCAGCGGGGGCTGGGTATCCTTCCCTGACAGCTGCCTGTCCCCAGGAGCTGGGCCTGGCCCCCGACATGTTCTTCTGCCTGTGCCTCCTGGAGGAGACCGGCATCTGTGTGGTGCCTGGGAGCGGCTTTGGGCAGCGGGAAGGCACCTACCACTTCCGGTGAGCCCTGGCCCTCACTGCCCGTCCCACCACCCCAGCCCTTCACTCACCGTCCACTTCTTTCAGGATGACCATTCTGCCCCCCTTGGAGAAGCTGCAGTTGCTGCTGGAGAAGCTGACCAGGTTCCATGCCAAGTTCACCCTCGAGTACTCCTGAGCATCCCAGCTGGGGCCAGGCTGTGCTGCCCTGGACTGTGTGCTCAGGGCCCTGGGGGCCTTTGGAGCTCACTGTACTTGCTCTTGCTGCCTGCAGGGGCTGGGCCCCTGCCTCTCTGCAGGTCCCTAATAAAGCTGTGTGTTAGTCTGACTCTGGAGAGGCAGCATTGGCAGCGCATGGTCCCCTTCTTGTGGGCCTGGGTCCCTGAGCAGGCACTAGTGGTGTCTTCAGACAAGGGGACTTCCACCGCTATCACCCACCTGTTCTTCCTAAACTACTGCTGTGGGCTAGGTCTTCCCCGCTGCCTCTGGTTGTGCGGCAGAGCCTGTCATGATCACACAGAAATGGGGTGAGACTCCGGGGTGTGAGAAAAGCCAGGCCCTGCACCCCTTTGTGGAAGCCCCCAGAGCTACTGGGATGGGGACAGGGCGCACCCGAGGAAACACAGCCCTTCCTGAGGAAGGTGCAGAGAGCTGTCTCCTTCCCTGCAGTCCATGTCTTCCCTGGGGCACGGGGAAATGCTAAACTTGCATGGTGCTGGCTGGATGGGGTGACTTGATAGCTCAGGGAGGAAGTCTTTTTTTTTTTTTGAGACGGAGTTTCACTCATGTTACCCAGGCTGGAGTGTAATGGCGCGATCTCGGCTCACCGCAACCTCCGCCTCCTGGGTTCAGGCAATTCTCCTGCCTCAGCCTCCTGAGTAGCTGGGATTACAGGCATGCACCACTATGCCCAGCTAATATTTTGTATTTTTAGTAGAGACGGGGTTTCACCATGTTGACCAGGATGGTCTCGATCTCTTGACCTCATGATCCACCCGCCTCGGCCTCCCAAAGTGCTGGGATTACAGGCTTGAGCCACCGCACCTGGCCAAGGGAGGAAGCCTTGGCTCTCTTTTACCTGAAGCAGCAGAGATGGTGCCACTATCTGGGGGGCCAGAGAGACCACCCTTGCTATCATTGTGTGGTGTGAGGCGCGGCTGGGTGGAGTGGGAGGCAGAGGGAGAGGACACTGCCAGGGGAGGGCTGGGGCTGGAGGAGGCAGGGGTAGGGCCCAGCAGCAGTGGGGAGTGCTGTGTCCTGGCCTGGGAAGCATGGCTGAACACCTACCACGTGCAGACACTGCGGGGGTCACTGACTCTGCACTGACGGTCTTTTGAGGTAGGTATGATAGTCCCCATTTGATAGATGAGAAAACCTAGGCCCTATGAATCTGCTGAGCTAAGAAACCCCCTCAGAGGCCTCAGCAGCTGGAAAAATGCATTGGGTCCAGTGCCCTCAAGTCACCCAAGGACGGGGCCAGCCTTAGAGACTCACAGACTTGGAGATGGGACCGGCCAAGGGCCATTTTTGTTCATTCTGGAGATAGTTTTTACCACAGGCCACACTTCACAGCCTCATGTGGGCCTCGGGAGCCCCAGAGGGCACAGTTCTGGGCAGGGAACAGGCAGGTGGGCCCCTCCCTTGGCAGGGCGGGCTCGTGTCAGGCAGGACACTCCTAGTCCTGTTATCAGACACTGAAGGGCGACACGGGCAGTGGCTGGCCGTGTCCTGGGCTGACCTGGGCCCTGCCCTTTCACACTACCTTCCTGCCTTCCATGCCTCTGTGACTGCCTTAGAGAGGGGCTGAAGCCACAGACACAGCAAGGTGGGAGTCTGGTTTCAGAAGTAACGAGTGGAAGAGGGTGGAACCCATAAGCGGACGCCTTCATGGGGGCGGCTGGAAAACAGGAGCTGGGCAATGCAGCAGCCAGACTCCAGGACAGACACCAGGAAGGACGCACGCCTGGCGCAGATCCGAGCTTCCTGGGAGGGATTAGGGCTGGCCGCGGGTGCAGGCCGGTTCTTACGTTCGAGGCCGGCCCAGCTGTGCAGCTTCCCTCTCTGGGCCTCTCACTCGCGCAGCACCTCGGTGGGAGCGCGCACGTGGCGGGGCGGCCGCGGGCCCGAACCCGGACTGGCCACCGGGGGCGCCCGCGAGCCGACGCTCTGGCCCGCTACGGAATCTCTGGCCCGCCCGACATTCCGGCCCAGCTGGTGGCCGCCGGACTCCGGCGACGCCAAGTCCGCGCACCGTGTGATCCGTACTCGGCTTTGTGGCTCCAAGGGACCGAGAAGCTGCTTAGTCCCGCCCGGCGGTGCGGGGCGCTGGCAGAGGGCCATGGGAGGCAGCGTCCCCGCCCCGTTTACCTGCGGCTGCGCAGAGCATGCTGGGAGCCGCGGGAGGCAGTGGCCCCCCCCCTTCACCGGAGGCCGCGCAGAGCATGCTGGGAGCCGCGGGAGGCTGTGGCCCTGCCCGCTTCCCCCGAGGCCGCGCAGAGCATGCTGGGAGACGCGGGACGCAGTGGCCCCGCCCCCTTTACCTGCGGCCGCGCAGAGCATGCTGGGATTCGCTGGCTGCCAGTGTCCCGAGCGCTCGTCCCCGTTTGGTTCCGGGTTCGGTTCTTCGGGGATGTGGATACTCCCAAGGCGTTAGAGCGAGTGTCCAGACCCCAGCCTGCCTGTACGACGCTGACTCCGCTCGGTCCCAGAACCAAAGCCGTGCCGGGGTGTAGCCCCTGACCCCACGCGGAGGAGACCTCGCCTTGCGGGACCCCACCTGGAACTCGACCTCCCGGCCTCGCAACGGGCCTGAGCCGCCATGCGCGGGAAGCTGCTGCCGCTGGCCGGCCTCTACTTGGTGCAGGGCCTGCCCTACGGGCTCCAGTCCGGCCTCCTGCCCCTGCTGCTGCGCGCCCGCGGTTTCTCTCTGACGCGCGTGGGGCTGGCCAAGGCTCTGTACGCTCCGTGGCTGCTCAAGCTGGCGTGGGCCCCGCTGGTGGACGCGCGGGGCTCGACGAGGGTCTGGCTGACGTGCAGCACAGCGGGCCTGGGGCTGGTGTGTGGGCTGCTGGCCGGGCTGCCCCCGCCTGGAGCTGGCCAGGCCGGGGTGCCCGCCGCCGTGGCGGGGCTGCTGCTGCTGCTGAACCTGGGTGCCGCCGTGCAGGACGTGGCCCTGGACGCGCTGGCCGTGCAGCTGCTTGAGCCGGCAGAGCTGGGGCCGGGCAATACCGTGCAGGTGGTCGCGTACAAGCTGGGGGCCGCGCTAGCCGGGGGAGCGCTGCTGGCACTCCTGCCCACCCTCTCGTGGACGCGGCTCTTTCTGCTCCTGGCTGCCTCCTACTGGCTGGCCGCGGCCCTGGCCTGGGCTGCACCAGCCCTGCGGCGGCTCCCACGGCCGCCCCCCTCTGAGCAGCGTCCCCACACCGTGCACTTTCTGCGGGCCGTGCTGGCCGTGCCGGGGACTCTGTGGACTGCAGGCTTTGTGCTCACCTACAAGCTGGGTGAGTGAGGCCTCGAGCCAGGCAACAGCAGAGGTGGGGCTTCCCAGACAGCTCCAGGCGTGTCCCTGGGGGCTTGCAACCCTTTACACGGCCGCCCTCTTTCTGGGGTATGACCTGTACGACCTGGCCCTGACATCGGGGGCTCTACAGCTGGGCCTTGCGTCGTGTCCTCCCGCAGCTCTGGCCACAGCCCTGACGGCTCTCAGGCTGCTCCACATCTCCAGCACCTGCGGCTCAGGAACACTGATTGAGGGTCTAGTCGGGGAGAAGAGGTAGACATGAGACCTCCCTTGCTCATGGCCCACCTCCCTACTCCAGGTGAGCAGGGTGCCAGCAGCCTGTTTCCTCTTCTCCTGCTGGACCGCGGCGTTTCTGCCCCTGAGCTGGGACTGTGGAATGGTGTGGGTGCCATGGTGTGCTCCATCGTTGGCTCCTCCCTGGGTGGGACACTGCTGGCCAAGCACTGGTGAGCCCTTCCCAGGGTGCCCCACCCACCCACTTGTATCCAATCTGCCCCCAATCCCCTTAAGTTCCCAATTTCTTCACCCCCACCCCAGGGAGCTGCTGCCTCTGCTGAAGTTGGTATTGCGGCTCCGCCTTGGGGGGTTAGCCTGCCAGACTGCCTTGCTCTTCCACCTGGATGCCCTGGGTGCCAGCTTGGGCCCTGGCACAATCTTGAGAGGTGAGGGGCTGGTCTTGGGGAGGGAGGAAGAGAGGGGCCAGGAGCCTGGGGCACTGCTGACCTCTGCTTTTCCAGGGGCAGCCTTGCTGAGCCTATGTCTACAGCACTTTTTGGGAGGCCTGGTCACCACAGCCACCTTCACTGGGATGATGCGCTGCAGCCAGCTGGCCCCCAGGGCCCTGCAGGTGAGCATACGTAGCAAGGACGGAGGGACTGCAGGACTGGGGGTGTGTGGGCCTGACCCTGACCTCCACACCCTCAGGCCACACATTACAGCCTTCTGGCCACTCTGGAGCTGCTGGGGAAGCTGCTGCTGGGTGCTCTGGCTGGAGCCCTGGCCGACGGGCTAGGGCCACATCCCTGCTTCTCCCTCCTGCTCGTCCTCTCTGCCCTGCCCCTTGTGTACCTGGGTCTAGCACCCAGCACCTTGCTCTGAGCTGGGCAGCTGGACAGCTCAATAAAGCCACATGTGCTTGTGACCCAGATGTTTCTGCCTGGAATATGTAATGTGCATGTCCCCAGGCTGTGGGGGCTGCTTCATTGGACAGGAGGGCCCATAAAAACAATGTAAGCAGCTGGGTGTGGTGGCTTGTGCCTGTAATCCCAGCTACTTTTGAGGCTGAGGTAGGAAAACTGCTTGAACCAAAACCTGGGAGGCCAAGGTTGCAGTGAGCCGAGATCACGCCACTGCACTCCAGCCTGTGCTACAGAGAAAGACTCCGTCTCAAAAAAAAAAAGGTAAGCACTTTTTATTCTGCTTTTAGAGCCTCCTCGTCCCACGCCCTGTGGCAGGTTTTGCCCAGGGCTTGTCATTGTCCTTGCCGCTGACAATCCCAGCTCTGCCCCACATCCTCCACGCGGTGCAGTCAGCGGCCCACCTGCAGCAGCTCTTCTGTGGCCAGGCGCACCAGAGCGTGGAAGCTCAGGTGCAGGTATTTTCTCCAGAAGCGCCGGTCCTGCCCGAACACCTGGGCTGGGTAGCAGGGGCTTCCTGCGGTGGAGCCGACACAGTCATGAGGACCATCCTGGCCCTGGTCATGGCCCCCGCCCCCAGCCTGTTATCAGGTGGAGCCCCCCAGTCCTCACCGATGCCGTGGAAGATGCGGGCCACAGCCCTGCCTGAGAACTTCTCCTCTGGCCTCAGGGATAGGAGCTGACGGATGTCACGGCGGACCTGGTCTTCCCAATCTTGGAGCTGTGCGTGGACAGGCACCTCAGGCTTCCTCTGAGCTCCTGTGGCACCGTGTCCACACAGCAAGCCCCAGGTGGCCCAGGGAACCTGCAGCCCTGGTGTGCCTGCATGTCCCTGCCTGGCCTCAGGGCACTCACCCTGGCCTGCCCTGGCTCGGGACCCTGTGCATCCCCCAAGGCGCCGGGCCCCTGTGCTTCCTCTTCCACTTCCTCAAAGTAGCGGCTGAGCAGGTCCTTGAGCCTGGTACTGCGCTCCTCATCCTGCTGCTCCAGGCAGGGCCCACAGCTGGGGAAGGCTACGCTGTGGAGGAGAGCCTGTTACAACTGGTCACTGCAGGAGAGTGGATGGTCCCAGGCCCTGCCCACCTCCTCCCAACCTGTGAAAGGCCTGGAAGGTTCTGTGCAGATGGGCCAAGGCCTGGTGCTCCCGGGCCTGTACACGGCCATACAGGAAGTCACAGATCTGGTCCTTCTCCTCAGCGGTCAGGTCACCTGGGGTGCGAAGGTGGAAGGCCAGCTCCCTGAACTCCACAAGTACCCCTGTGCTCCGCCACAAACCTGCCAGAAAGCAAGTCAGATGCAGGCAGGCAGCATCCAGGGCGGGGTGGGGAGGGGTGGGGAGCGGTGTACCTGTCCGAGGTTCGTGGTCCCACTGCAGCTGGTAGAGAGCCCGCCGCACACAGGCCAGCTCCCAGTCCATGGAGTCCACCAGCTCGACCATGTCAAACTCTACTGAGCTGCTGCCTTGTCCTGGGTCCTCAGGCAGCCGCTGGGCCAAGCACACAGCCAAAGGGGGACACCTGTGCTGAAGACAAGGGATCATGTGGCCAGCAGCCCTGACTCTCCAACCTCATCCCTGCTCAAGGAAGGGCATCTCACCTGTGGGCCAGGGCCTGGAGCTGGGCAGGGCCGCCAGAGCAGTGCAGATAGCAACGGGCATAGGTGGTCGCCAACAGCTCCAGCCAGTGCCGTGGGTGCAACTCCAGGTAGCACAGCAAAGTCTCGATGGCTGGGGGCAGAGCAGGGCTCAGGGAACGTGGGGCCGGCCCATCCACACCCCCGTGGTTTACCCTGGGTTCCTCACCCTCCTCTGGCATGTCCAAGGCCTGGACGGTCGGCTGCACTGGGAGTGCCCGTTCGTGGCCCACACAGGCCCTTCTAGGTCCTGGGGCTGCTTGGCGGCCACCAAGCTGCTCCACCTCTTGAGGGGGGGACTCGGCCACAGGGATGTCCCCACCCCTGGCCCCCTCCTGCTCTGCGGGCAGCCTGGCGCAGGTACAGGATGGGAATACGCGCTGCACCAGTCTCTTGACGGCCCAGAAGTCCATGCCGTTGGCGTGCACGTGTCTGCGCAGCTCTCGCAGGTCTTCCCCCTGGAGCGCGACAGTCATGAGGGTGGGACAGAGCACTGGGGGCCCGAACACTGGTGGTTGGGGGGATGCCCACCTGGGGCTGCAGGAAGAGATGGCAGTGGGCAGGCTGCCCGTCACGCCCGGCCCGTCCCACGGCCTGCACATAGCTCTCAAAGCTTGGGGGCAGCCCCAGATGCAACACAGCCCGCACGTCTGGCCGGTCCAGCCCCATCCCGAAGGCCACTGTGGCTACCACCACTCGCAGCTGGCCCTGCATGAAGGCCCTTTGTACCCGCTGCCGTTCCCGGCTGCACATGCCTGCGTGGTAGGCCTCAGCCATGGTTTTGGGGGCACGACCTTTGAGGAAGACAAGCAGATAGTCAGTGGGATGGGGCATGGGTGCTCAAGGTGGGTCCATGGGGGTACCAGCCCTGTCCATGCTTCACCTTTAGGCCCTGGGCCCTGGGCCGGATGCAGGCAGGTTCGGAGAAGTGCAGCAACCCGCTCTGTGTCCTCCCGCCGGTTGCAATAAATGATGATGGAATCCAGGTTTCGAAAGCGTTCGCCTTGCAGCAGAGTTAACAGAGCCTGACAAGGAGCGGTCAGAGTGGGCAGTCAGAACTGAGGAGCGGTCAGCATGGGTATTCAGGAGTGGGAGAGCGATCAGTGTGCGTAGTTGGAAGCTGGGGCCCTTTGGGGTCCCCAGAGCATGCACACCCACCTGGTCTGTGTCCCTGTCCATGGACACGGAAAGGTGCAGGTTAGCGGGAACTGGGGCTGGCCCATGGAGGCCAGGCTCTTCGGCCACAGCCAGGTGCTGGGCCACATCACTGGCTGTGCGGCGTGTGGCTGTGGCCGTGAGACCTAGGAAGCAATGCACGCCCATCCGCTCCCGAAGCACCTGCACCAGAGGCCATGGTGGTGTGAGGCTGCCTAGCCTACCCTACCCTGGTCCTAGCCACCCACTGCACTTCACACACAGCTCACCTTACAGACACGCAGGTAGCAGGGCCGGAAGTTGTGGGACCACTGGGAGAGGCAGTGGGCCTCATCGATGCAGGCAAAAGCCACTGGAGGCAGCTGTGTGGCTGGAGGGAGACCCCCGGCTCCCACCAGTGCCTCGGGGGTCAGCAGCAGCACATGTACCTGGCCTGCCTGAACCTGAAAGCAGCAGGATCAGGGGCACAGCCCAGGTGCCCGCCCACTGCCTCCCTCACCCCTAGGCCCATGAGGCCCTCACCTTCTGCAGGACAGACTCCCGCTGCTTACTGGTCATGCCCGAGTGGATGCAGGCTGCCTTGAGACACGGGGGCAGGCGAGACACCTGCAGATGCAGTAGCAACGGCCGTCATAGGCCAGCCCAGGCCTGGCCCTTCCTCAAGTCATCCCAGAGATGCTAACCCAACAGCTGTTGCTGCCTCCATCCTAGGCCCTCTGGGGAGAGGAGAACCAACCCCTGGGTCCTAGGGCCAAGGGATGGCTCCCTTCCCAGCACAGCTCCTGTGGGGGTGGCCGTGGTGCCGGTGGAGCCGGGCTGCCTCGACCTGCTGCCAGGACTGGGACTGCAGCCACAGACTTCTTGAAGCTCCCGGGGGAGGGAGTGGTTTGGAGACGAGCAGCAGTTGCCTTTGGGAGTCACAAGTGCTTGTTCTCAGCTGTGTATGTGTGCCCAGGACCCTGTGTGCACACCTGGTCGTCCATGAGTGACAGCAGGGGAGAGATGACCAGTGTGAGGCAGGGGCTGCGCCGGGCGTAGAGCAGTGCCGGAAGCTGGTAGCACAGGGACTTGCCAGCCCCTGTGGGCAGCACCAGCAGCGTGGAGATGCCTAGGTGGGGCAGAAGTTAGTGGCAAGGCCCTGCAGCCCAGCCTCAGCCCGGCCTCAGCCCTGGCAGCTGTGCTCACCAGAGAGGATCTGCATGACCGCACGCTCTTGCCTGGGGCGGAAGTCTTGGTGCCCCAGTTGCTCCAGGGCATGGAACACCTCCGCTGGCGTCTCTGCAGATACAGCTATTGATTAGCATGATTGAATCACCTCAACCTCTCAGTAAAGGCTCTGGACCAGAAGCTGATTGCTCACCTGCCACCTGCCCTGAGGGCCCCAGGGAGTAGAGTGGCAGCACGGTGGGGGCCAGGCCAGGCAACTCAGGCACAGGCTGTAGCGCAGGAACCAGTGGCTCAGGCCTATCAGGGTCTGTGTCTTCCTCACTTGCTGGGATCAGGCAGGAGAGAGTGGAGTTTGAGCTGCAGTCTGGGCTGAGATAATACTGGCAAGACAACCACTGCCCAAAACCCTCCCGTCCCCCAAAGGAGGTTGGCAGCAGTGCCCTTCCTCTGGCCTACTTCTTCCAAAGCAGAAGGAGCTGACAGCCATCCTCATCCCTGCCACATTCCTTCAGGGGAGCCAGGGTAGGGCCTGGACCAGGGGTACCTGGAAGGGCCTTTTGTTTGGGACAGAAGTGTCCCCCAAAAGAGCACCTTGCTCTCTCCACAGTGTTGTCTGGACCGACCCCCGTCCAGGGCAGATTCTCACCTGGCTGGGGACACTGGGGTGCCCTGTGATCAAACTGCCCATTCAGGAAACAAGACTCCTTGATTGTGACTGTGGTATCACCACGGCCAAAACACTCCCCTTTCTTTCGCCACTTCTGCTTCCGTGCCTGGGGGGGCCCACATAGGAGTGTCACTGGATGGGAGATTCCGGAGTTGACAGAAGGGAAGGGAGCACCTGTCCCAGCCTGTCACTGTCTCACCTGCTTGCAGAGAAGCCTGCCACGGAGTGCCCGGCCCCGCACATAGCGTTTCTGCTTCATGTTCAGCCGTACGTAATTGCCCCTGTCATGGCCAGCCATCCTAGGGAAAATGTGCAAGTGGGCTATGCCCTCAGCCTTCTCTGCCCTGGCTTGACTGGAGGGGCTGAGTCTGTGGTACCTGGGGGTCGACCGACTGCTGCAGGGCTGAGGTGGCTGTGCCTGTACAGGTTCCCCTGGAGAGTCTTCCTCAAGTGCTATGGCCTCAGCCGCCTCAGACGGAGGTCCAGCCTGACTGCTCTGCTGCTGGACCTGTGTGGGGCTCCCCCAGGGCACCTCATTCCGTCTCCGCTTCTCGCCTCGACTGCTGCTGGGTTGGGGGCTCCCTGCACCGATGCTGACTTCTTGGAGGGCTGAAGCCTCTGGGCCCTGGGAGCGAGCACCAGGACCAAGGACAGCGGACTCACCGGTGGTCAGAAGTTGTGATTCCTCTGAGCCTAGGCCAGGCCTGCAGGGTTTGGGGGCCCCCAGAAAGTCTGGGACCCCACTGTGACACCGTTGCAACCAGCCAGGATCTAGGGAGCCCAGCCGTAGGCTCAGGGATGCCCGCAGGTGCTGGAGCCGACCAGGCCTTGGCCGGGGCCCAGAAGGCTGTGGAGGCATATCACTGACTTTTTCTGCAAAGGTGGGGACAAGTCCTGTGCCTGGGAGCTTTGGGATGGGTGTCTTGGATGAGGATCTTTCTGGAGGCCAAGGTCTGTGGCCCAGAGCTGGGCTGGCCTGGGAGGAGAAGAACAGAATGGCAGCAGGCACTCAGGCCCCTAGGCTGCTGTAGACTCTGAAACCTGAGTCCCTACCTTCAATCGTAGGGCAGGCTAAGAAGCACTGGGCTAGACTAGAAAGAGAGTCAAGAGCAGAGATCCCTAGAAGCTCCCTCCCAGGAGAGTGGTGCCCTGATTGGCATCGGAGCCTGTGCCTGTCTGTGTGGAAAGAGTGACAGAAAGGAGATGGGCAGCCCTGCCACTCTGGGTCTAGCATAGACGCACTGTTTGCCCACCCGTCACCTGCAAGGTGCCTTTCAGATTGGCCTTGAGTCGCTGCCCATAGTCCCGGAACGAGCCCTGACAGCTCCGCCCTGGGGTAGGTTGTGGACTCTGGGTCGCAGCCCGATTCAGGTGGGGCCCCCAGCAGTGTGGCTCTGGCGCCTGCAGGAGACAGTGGGAGCACAAACTAGAGACAGGCTGGTGTGCGGGTAGAGGCGCTCCCAGCCACCCCTCCCACACCTGGAGCGAGGCCCGGCCTTTCCCCACTTTGCCCAGTCCTCCTCCCAAGTTCTGTGCCCCACGTAGGCCTGGCCACGACTCCGTGGCTCCCGCCACTCCGCCAAACAGGAAAGTGCAGGAGTTTGGGGTGGTGGGGCCTGGGTACCTCCTCGGCCGCCGCGGGGAGCGACTCTGGGCTGCGGGGCCCGCCGCCGCCACCGGACTGACGCACCGTCCGCTTCAGAGAACTGTATTCCCGGTAGAGCGCTGCGTGGGCGCGCGGGAGGCGGGGTCAGGGTGGGGGCTGGGCCCCCACCGACCCGGCGCCACCCCGCCCCGCCGACCCGCGCGTTCTCACCGCGGGTCTCCTCCGGCGCCGCCTTCACATCGTCCTGTAAAAAGAACGCGTCAGCAGCTGGTCGCGCCCTCAGCCCCTCGGTCCCGGGGCAGTCCGCACCTGGCTTGGCCGCCGCCCGTGCTGCTGCCGGAACGCGCGCTCCCACGCCTGCAGCCGCTCCCGCAGGTCCCGCAGCCGCTCCATGGTGCGCCCGCCCAGCCACAGCGCCCGCGGCAGTTCAACTAGTCTCCCGCGCTGCAGACGCTGGGGCCGACAGCCAATGTGGGCGCGCGGCGAGCCGAGGGCGGGGCCATCGTGCCCTGGCAGCCAATCCACCAGGCCCTGGGCGAGCAGCCAATGGGAGGCGTCGACGTCATCGCGGGGCGCCACGGCGCCGGGCGGGACGCGACGGACGATCGAGGCGGGGCCGGAGGCGGTGGCTGCGGCTGCGGGACTGGTGAGCGCGGGCCGCCAAACGGGGTTCGGTGCGGGGCGGCGCGCGTCCCTGGCCCGGCCTGGCCTAAAGGGGCGGGGCGCCGATCGCTTGGGGCGGCCCAGCTGTGGGAGGGAGTGGCTACACTTGGGAGCCCAGGGCGGAGGCCGGGAGCCCGGGCGGCGCCACCGCGGGCGGCGAAGGACTGGGACTTCCCGGGCAGGTCGGAGGGGCGTCAGGCCCTGGTGGGAGACGCACCGGGCCTGGAGGAGCAGGCCCCGCCCGGGAAGTGAAAGAGCGGAGCGTCCAGCGCCTCCCGCGGCTCAAGGCCCTGAGGAGCCGGGCGGGGGCGTCTTCGCGAAACGCAGGCAGCCTAGGACCAACGCGTTCCCTGCCGCCGGCGGGAGGGGCGGAGGCGTCTCACGGAGGCTCCTGCCTCCCTTGGTGGCCAGGCTGGCTGCTTTCGTGTCCTCTCGTGACAGGTGCTCGGTTGGTCTGTCCTGTCAGAGCGAGGTATGATCGTCGAGATTTCGTCCACGGGCAGAGCGAGGCCGAGGGTTGGCATCTGGGACTTTTCAGGAACCGGTGCCTTAAGGACTTCTTTGTATGTGGAAAAGTCGGCAAAAACAAGGGCCCTGGGACCAGAGTGTCTCCCCAGCTCCCTTCCCTGGCTTGTCACTCAGGCTGACCTTGGGCTAGGCATAGGCCTCCAGTTTCTAATCTCACAGGGAGATGGCTGCGATTTAGTTTTGAGGGTGCTGCAGCCAGCAGCAGGGCTGGCACCGTGTCACAGGCACCTTGTTTCTTTGGTAGTGTTTGTGTGCATCTCTGCCTCTTGGATGCTGCTTAGGCAGCTTTCTGTGCTTTGTCTGAGAAATCTGTAGCCTTGCACCTTCCAAATCTCACATACTTAAGATTTGGGTCTTTCCACAGTGGCTCTCCAGGAAGGAGAGAGAGGTCTAGACCAGTGGTAAGGGCCACCAAAAATGAGAGTTGCTTTCTGTCAGGGACCTCCGTGCTTGGTGACACTCTGGACAATAGTAGTATTTTGGGGATCTTACATTGAAGGGTTGGATTTGGTAGGCCACATCATCTGGACTCAGTGCTCCCTGGGTCTCGTCTTTTCAGCCTGCCCTGTTGCTTATGAAACTATGTGTGTGCTTCCAGCTCTTCTTTGTTGTGTTTTGTGGAGTCCAAGGGTAACCCTGCAGACCCTCTGTGAGGAAGGGAGGGAAGGGAACTGTGATGTGACTGCTTGACCCCTTGGAGCGTCCAGTCAACACTAATGCTGACAGAGGTTGGTGGGGAGTGGTCTAGGCTTTATTCAGGTTTCAAAGAAGGCTTTATGAAGGAGTTTTGTAATTTGGGAGGCCCGAAATACCCATGGGGGGCCCTGCAAGGCAACAGTCATCTGTCAGAAGCACACCCAAGCAAGTGAGTTGTCAAAAGACGCCACGCTGTTTGATGCTTGGTTTTCCTGAAGAGGTCCTGTGCTTCTGGAGGGCTGGGGCTGAGTTGTGTCCTTGTCTGCTAGTCCACTGCACCCAGCCCAGCGCTAGCCATCTAATAGGTGCTTTCTAATAGGTGGTTCTCTGCTAACTGCTGACTTTGTTCCAGGCACTATGCTGGGCTTTCCTACCAACTGTGTGTGGCTTGGTAGTGGCCTAGGGTCTCTCCTCCCTGCTGAAGTCCCTCTCCTGCAGGTGGCTGTCTGCCTGGCCCAGCGCCATGCACACGCTTGTGTTCTTGAGCACGCGGCAGGTGCTGCAGTGCCAGCCAGCTGCCTGCCAGGCCCTGCCCCTACTGCCACGCGAACTCTTCCCCCTGCTGTTCAAGGTGGCCTTCATGGACAAGAAGACGGTAGTACTGCGCGAGCTGGTGCACACGTGGCCCTTCCCGCTGCTCAGTTTCCAGCAGCTGCTACAGGAGTGTGCCCACTGCAGCCGTGCCCTCCTGCAGGAGCGGCCTAGCACTGAGAGCATGCAGGCCGTGATCCTGGGGCTGACTGCCCGGCTCCACACCCCAGAGCCTGGGGCCAGCACACAGCCCCTCTGCAGGTATGGACTTACCTGAAGGGTCGTCAGGCCAGGGGTATGTAAGTGGGTCACTGGAGGAGGGTCTAGGCTTGGGTCATAAAGTTAGCAAGACCTCATGCAGGAACAGGCACATCGCTCCTGTCCCATGGTAGCTGGGAGGGGGAATGTATGGCCCCTGCCCTTGACCCCTTCCTCAGACCATTCCTACTCCCAGGAAGCATGTGCTGCGGGTGCTGGACATGACAGGCCTCTTGGATGATGGTGTGGAACAGGACCCTGGCACCATGAGCATGTGGGACTGTACTGCTGCCGTCGCCCGCACATGCATCGCCCAGCAGCAGGGTGGGGCCACGGAGCCTGGCCCAGCCCCCATCCCAGTGGAGGTGCGTGTGGACCTTCGGGTAAACCGGGCGTCCTATGCGTTCCTGCGCGAGGCGCTCCGAAGCAGCGTGGGCAGCCCGCTGCGGCTCTGCTGCCGGGACCTGCGAGCCGAGGACCTGCCCATGCGCAACACCGTGGCACTGCTGCAGCTTCTGGATGCAGGCTGTCTGCGCCGCGTGGACCTGCGTTTCAACAACCTGGGCCTGCGTGGCCTATCTGTAATCATCCCACACGTGGCCCGCTTCCAGCACCTTGCCAGCCTGAGGCTCCACTACGTGCATGGGGACTCAAGGCAGCCCTCCGTGGATGGCGAGGACAACTTCCGCTACTTCCTAGCCCAGATGGGCCGCTTTACCTGTCTGCGAGAGCTCAGCATGGGTTCCTCACTCCTTTCTGGGAGGCTGGACCAGCTGCTCAGGTGAGCGGGCCCCACCACTGCCCTGCCCTCCCTTCAGTAGGCACCCTTCCTACCTTTGCCTGTCTGTGACCCCTGTGTCCCCTGTAGCACCCTGCAGAGCCCCCTGGAGAGCCTGGAGTTGGCCTTCTGTGCTCTGCTGCCTGAGGACCTGCGCTTCTTGGCACGGAGCCCCCATGCTGCTCACCTCAAGAAGTTGGACCTGAGTGGCAACGACCTGTCTGGCAGCCAGCTGACACCCTTCCAGGGTCTGCTGCAGGCATCAGCGCCCACACTACTACACCTGGAACTCACTGAGTGCCAGCTCGCAGATACCCAGCTGTTAGCCACACTACCCATCCTTACTCGATGCGCCAGTCTCCGCTACCTTGGCCTCTATGGCAACCCACTGTCCATGGCCGGCCTCAAGGAGCTGCTGCGGGACTCAGCGGTGCAGGCTGAGTTGCGTACTGTGGTGCACCCCTTCCCTGTGGATTGCTATGAGGGCTTGCCCTGGCCACCACCTGCCTCTGTCCTGCTGGAGGCCTCCATTAATGAGGAGAAGTTTGCCCGTGTAGAAGCAGAGTTGCACCAACTGCTTTTAGCCTCGGGCCGTGCCCATGTGCTCTGGACCACAGACATCTACGGGCGACTGGCTGCGGACTACTTCAGCCTATGACGAAGTAGCTCTGGGTGAGACACAGGCCGTCCTGCAGTCTCCTTGAGTAGGCAGGGCCTTTGCTGGGACCCCGCCCTGGAGGCCTGTCACAAAAGCACTTATTTCTGGTTTCCTGCTGGGTCCACCTTGCTTCCGGGCACACGTTGAGGCCCGCCCCCTGCTTTTTGCAGTGCCCCATGCGATTTGCCCTGCACTTGCTCCATAATTGGCTGATGGTCTGTGGGCCCCAGGGCTGTGTGTCAGGCCTGCATCACCCTGCTCAGTTTGGCTGCCCTCTGGAGTCCTGATCCTTTGTGCAAATGCTTTGGGATCCCTGTTGTGAGTTGAGAGAGATGATGGTCCCTCTGGGCCTTTCCCATCCCCTTATGGAGAGCTCAGTGTTCTGGGGTTGAAGTTGGAAAGAGGCCTGATTCAGGGAGGCTGGGGTCCCCAGGCACTCAGGCCTCTTATGTGTTCCCTGCTCTGCCACCCAGCCACCCCATTGGGATGGGCTTGGGCTGGAGGGAGTCATCAAGGTGCAAGTGTGCCTGGAACTTTAATTTGTGGCTGTTTTTTTTATGTCCAAGTTGGTCACCCTTATCCTTATGTCTGCTGTCACCCCCAGCATGGCCACTGGGCAACAACTGCCTCCAGCCTGTCGTTCCGCCCTCTGCGGGGCAGCGCCATCGGCACTGCCTGCCAGTCCTTGCTCTTCCCCACCTTTTGGAGGCCCAAGATCTTATACTGTGGTCGGCCAGGGCTAGTGAGCTGCCTGCCGCAGAACCGGAGGCTGGGGGGCGATGTCTTTTCGGAAGAGCTTCAAGTGAGGTGTTGGGGCCTACCTGGCCACCTTTCATCGCTAGCCCAGGATTCCCAAGTGCAACGCTCCCGGCCTGGCGCCCGGCGCCCCACACACGGCTCGGCGCACAGTGCGCGGCTTCCACCTTTACTGACGGAGCATGCGCGAGGCGGCGCCGGCCAATCTCCGGCGCCTACGTCATCCGCGCGCGTCCCCCGGACCTAGCAGTGGATCTCGTAGGCAACCGGCGGGGGCACGCGGAGCCCCGGGGTTGCCCCCTCTGCCGGGTCGCAGTCCGCGGGCGCCTCCGCCGGACCCTCGGCGAAGAGGGGCTTGGAACGGTTGATGACGAACATCTCGTGGCCGCGCTCGTCGCGGAGCTCCTCGAGCTGCGCGAACGTGCAGGGGCCGTCCAAGTAGTCGTTGACGAACAGCGCGCCCTCCCCTGGGGGCCCCCGCGCCTTTTTCCGCCTCCGGCGCCGGCGACAGATCATGGCGGCTAGGAGCACCGCCGTGAGTGCCAGGAGCGCGATGGCCGCCGCGATGGCCGTCTGCGTAGCCAGGCCCAGGGCGCGGAAGGCCATGCTGCCCGCCACGGGCCGGGGCTCGCGGCCGGCGGGTCGGGCGGCCGGGAGCGGCGGTTGCGCGGGCTGCTGCGGCTGCTGCGGCTGCTGCCGGGACGCGTTGACCAGGAGCCGGAAGGGCACGCGGGCGGCGCCGCCGGCGTTGGAAGCCTCGCACTCGTACTTGCCAGCGTGCGCCAGCGTGATGTTGCTGAGGAAGAGCATGCCGCTGCCCGTGTCGGATGCCGAGTGCCCGCCCAGCACCGGCGCCCCGCCTTCTAGCTGGGCCTGGGCTCGTGGCCGGCCCTCGCGTGGCTGGGGCATCTTTCTCCAGGTCACCAAGGGCTGCGGGTAGCCGGAGGCTTGGCAGGCAACCCGCAGGTCCTCACCCAGGTTAGCTGTGAGCTCCAGCGGCTGCACGTGCACAGAGGGCGGAATGCAGATGAGGCTGCTGTGGGATATATCCAGGAGGCTCTGGAGCGCCAGGCGCGGGGGCTCTGCACACATGATCTTGTCCCTGGAGCTGAGCAGCCGCTGGCCACCCTCCTTGATCCAAGCACCCAGCCAGTGCAGGGCGCAGTCACAACGCCATGGGTTCTCTGTGGGAGAGCAGCGTCAGGCAGGTGGCTTGGAGGTGGTGCTAGAACACAGCCTGTGCAGTTGGGGTTCTGCGGGCCAGGACGGGGCCTCTTTTCCACCTCCTACAGCCTTTTCACACGGAATCCATGGCCCCTGCCACCCGTTCCTTGACCCCAAGCTCCTGGCGGTGGCGCCAGGCCCTCCACCCCCCTCCCCCCATTAAGCTCTGTGATGCCTGCCTATTACAGATCACTTCTCCGCTGGTCTCTGAGAAAGCACCTGCTCCTCAAGTCTTCCTGAAACAAGTCCCACAGTTTTTGGAAACCTGGGGATCCACATAGACATCTCACCAACACTGAAACCTTGCAAATCCTCTCAGCCTTGTTTTTGGATGCCCTCTCCTGGGGATGTCCCCAATCCTGGTCAGCTGTCTCTCTCCTTTCCAGTTTTTGTCTGCCTGTCCTCTCATAGCCGAAAAGTGTACAAAGGCCTTAATTCTGTCAAGTCACTCTGTGGGGTGCCCGTCTTTTCTGTCTTAGGCAGGGTGCCTGAGCTGTGTCCCCTAGCACGCCCATTCCCGCAGCCCTCCACCGTGGCTGCAGGTGGTGGTGGGGCCCTCCAGACCTGCTCGGTTGCCTCCTGTCAGAGCCCCTCCACACATGAGCCTGCCCCCTACTGCCACCACCGTGGCCAAGACAGTAGACAAGACAGAGATGCTTTAGGGGAAGAGGTACCTGTGAGGCGCAGGACTTGCAGACTGGCCAGGGGCTGCAGGGCCTCTCGGCTGATGGTGCCCAGCTGGTTCCTGCTGAGGTCCAGCAGTGCTAGGGAGGACAGCCCCGCTAGAGCCTGGTCCTCCAGCAGCTCAATGCTGTTTTCCTGCAGGTGAAGCTCCTGCAGTCGCTGAAGTAGGAACAGCAGATCGTGAGGAAAAAAGGACGCCGAGGTTGGGGGCAGGTCCCCTTCTTACCAAGCTAGACTAAGTTGCCTGTTCTAACTACTCCGTCCCTACAGGGCGAGGGGCCATAATGGAGTATCCTGCCACTTTAGACCCCAGGCGCTCACCGGCAGGTGCAAGAAGGTGAAATCCAGTAGTCGCGCTAGCTGGTTGCCCGCCAGGTAGAGCACGCGCAGCTGGGCCAGGCCTGCGAAGGCGCCGCTGCGCAAGGCGCGCAACCGGTTGCTGGTGAGGGCCAGCTCGAGCAGGCGCGGCTGCGCGCGGAAGGCGCCGGCCTCCAGGGCGCGCAGGCTGTTGTTGTGCAGGTAGAGCCGGCGCAGAGCTGCGAGCGGCGCCAGGGCTCCCGGCTCCAGGCGCGCGATGTTGTTGTCCTGCAGGAACAGCGTCTGCGAGCGGAGGAAAGAGGAGGCTCTTACTCCGCCGCGGGGGTCTTCCTCTCCCTTGGGGCACCCCATCCGCCAGCAGCCTCACACGGTGCCCACCTGCGTCCCTGGCGGGATTCCCAGCGGGACGACTCGCAGCCGCAGAGCGCCACACTCCACCGTCGCGCTGTAGCAGCGGCAGGCGACCGGGCAGCCGGCGGCGCGGGGGGGGAGTCCGGGCAGCGGCGGCAGCGGCAACAACAGAAGCAGCAGCAGCAACAACGCGGGTCCCCCTGGGGCCATCTCCCGAGACCCGGCTCCTCACCGGCCCCCCGCGGTCCAGCCGCGGACGCGCACCCTCCTGAAACACAGGGCGGCAGGCCAGTCTCGGCAGCCGAGAGCAGCCAATAGCAGGCATGGGGATGGGGGCCTACATCTGCGTCTGTTTTTTTTCAGACGGAGTCTCGCTCCGTCGCCAGGCTGGTGTGCAACCTCCGCCTCCCGGGTTCAAGCGATTCTCCTGCCTCAGCCTTCCGAGTAGCTGGGACAACAGGCGCCCGCCAGCACGCCCAGCTCATTTTTGTGTTTTTAGTAGAGACGGGGTTTCACCATGTTGGATGCTGTTGATCTTTTTACCTCGTGATCCGCCCGCCTCGGCCTCCTAAAGTGCTGGGATTACAGGCGTGCGCCACCGCACCCAGCGGGGGCTAATTTTGAAGCTATAAATCGGTTCAAGAATCTAATAAAACGTCGTTTCTTCCCTTGACAAAAACATTTTCTTAAAGATCTGGGGCATCAGGTTCAAATTTAGAATTCCTCGTGTCCTTAGTCTCTTCACAGGATGTGGCCATGTAGGGAGAGCCACCCAGCCCCGTCCCCTTCTATTCCTACTCCACCCATGCCCAGGAAGTCAGGAACTTCCTGTTCAGGACGTGGATGCTCGGCCCTTGCTGCCCCTGACTCTACCCCCCCAGGCAAGTGGCTGCTGCTTGGTTCTAGGGTGCAAGAAGCTGGAAGTACAGGGTATGGGTTTGGGAACTTTGCTTAGTTGACAAAACCAAGGGCCCCATTGCTCAAGCATGGCTAGGAGGGGGAGAGCAGGCCCGGGGCAGACACGCCCCCTTGTTTTCCTGGGGGGGCTGGCATGCGACCTCCTGAGGCTCCGAGCAGAGGTCCCTTTGTGCCCCCAAGACAAAGTCCAGAGGCACACTTGACCTTAACCCATGTCCTTTTGTCCCTGGAACTCATGCTCTGCCTCCCACCCTGGGGTTCATCTGTCATGACTTGATGGGGGCCCCTGGGGAAAAGCTGGCCTCAGAGGAGCTATGAGCCTGAGATCAGGAAGAAACATGGAGTATGCTGGGGACCATATGCGTGCACTTGTCCTAAAGAAATGGGAAGGCTGGGGTCTGGTTTCAGACACAAAGAGCCCAGTTTTAAAAGTAGGGATCTGGGCTGAGAAGCCAGCCCACCCGACGCCAGGGAAGACAAGGCTGTAGCATCTCCCAGCGTCATCTGGCCTCCCTCTCTGAACATCTGCCTGTCCACCAGCTCTTCCTCCTTGCCCAGTCATGTGGAAAGGGACCAAGTAGCCTTCGTGTTTAATTCTTGCCCTAAATTGTAACTCACATGATTATTTAAAGTCACTAGAGATTAGTAAGCACAGCAATAAAGTTTTAATGGAATAGCTTTGGCCCAGGCAGAGGCAGTTCCCAGATGTCTCAGGATGTGTGTGAGCCCCAAGAAGTTGGGGACATTATCTGGGCCCTTGAGATCCATTTCCCTGGATAAAGAGGACTGGTACAGGGCTCCAGGCCTGGCCCAGCCAGCCTCCAGCAAGAAGGCATCTCAAGTGGAGAAGTAGCCTCCTCAGAACTCAGGGCGCTGCTGCTCACGCTGACCCCCCTAGATGCAGCCCGGTGTAGAAGGGCCGGCCAGGGCCCCAGGCTGGAAGAAGCCCAGAAATCCTTTTACCAGAGGACAACCCCCTAATCCTCTGGGCAGGGGCGGGCGTCACATGCAGGATTCCGCGACGACTGTCACTGCCTCCTGGGCGCCCCTCAGTGCAGGAGGGGTGGAAAGAAGAGGATGGAACGCCCTGTGCCTCCCTCCGGCCAGTGCAAGGCCCAAGCCAGGGTCTCTGGGCGGCCCTTGCGCACCTCTGCAGCGCTGCGACCTGGTGCCTGGAAGCCCCACGGCCTCCTCTGCTACCCCTGAGCGCCGGTCGTTTTTCGGCCAGGTTCAGGGAGGGCGTGGCCTCCGCGTTCCCCATCCCCCTCCAGGACTCACGCCCTTCTGGAAGCGCACCAGGATCAAAGCCGGGATGGTCCCCGAACCCCTCCCCCCGCACGCCTGGTGACCTTGGGTCTGGCGTCCCCTCACCTGACGCTCCCGCGCCGAGCGGCTCCCCCGCGGTGCAGGTGGCTGCCGGGCCGGAGCAGCAGCCGGGCTGGGAGGGGGCGGGGGACGCTCGCGCACGCGTGTCAGAGCCCCGCGCCAACCGCGCCCGCCGCCAGGGCCTGACGTCTCTAGCGTGAGCCAATCCAGCGGGCGCCCGAGCTTGGTGCGCGGGAGGCGCGCGCCGTGGGGAGCAGAGGGTCCGGGACGGCCGGGCCGCGGCAGCACCAAGGACAGAGCCGGGGCGGGGGTGGGGTGGGGTGGGCGCGGCACGCAGGCGCACTAGGCTGCCGCGAGTGCCAGTGGCGCCGGCTTTCCGGGGCGCGGGCTCCCGGGGGAGTAGGGTGAGGGGCGCCCGCGGCCTCCCGTCCTTCTTCCGCCCCTGCTCAGGGCGGCCGAGCCGCGAGCAGCAGCGGTGCCAGATCCATGGTGAGGGCGAGGCGGCGGCCCTGCCAGAGCACGTGCGAGGGCAGCGCGGGCGCGCCAGGCCCGTACTCGAAGCAGGCGCTGAGCTCGAAGGCCAGGGTGGAGCGCACCAGGCCCACGCCGCCCGCTCGCTCCGGTGCCGGGTGGTACAGGCGCCCGTTGGCGGCCAGGGGCAGCAGGCGCGCAGGCTCGAAGGGCACAGTCAGGGCCTCGCCTCCGCCGCAGTAGGAGAGGCGCGGGGGCCCGTGACCCACGGTCAGCAGGTGCGTGAAGACCACCGGCCGGTCCTCGCAGCGCAGGAAGTTGCGCTCCCTGCCGCAGGGCGAGAGGAAGGGGAAGGAGGCCTCGTAGCGCCCGCTGCGGTTGGGTCTCAGGCGGGAAAAGAAGGTGACCAGGAACTGCGGGTCTGGGGGATGAAGGGAACGGCTGCTTAGCGCGCTGGGCTCCCAAGGCTTCCGGGCCCAGGACCACACTGAGGGCAGACGCTCACTCCTTGGCGCGCTGGGCCCATCGGCAGAGTCGGGTGAGCCCATCCGGAGCTGCCCTGAAGGGAGAAAGAAGGGGCAGGGGAGGGCGGCACAGCGGTACCTTTGAAGCAGGTGATGAAATTCTTCATTTTGGAATCATCCAGGAAAAGCTGCGGACAGAGGGCCGGGCCGTGATGAGTCCTAGCTGGCAGGTGGGGCGGGGAAGCTCGGGCCGTCCTGAGCCGGCCCGAGCCCACTTTGCCTGCTAGTCTGAGCACACCGCGTGCAGGGAGGCGCGTGGAAGGTAAACTTGGGGGCCCTGCCGACTTCTCCGCATCTATGCGCACCTCTGCTCCCTGGTCAGGCAAGTCTTTCTCGCACCTTTTCCCTCTTCTCAAGTTTGTAATCAGTTGTGTCACCTCCGCGGAGGCTGCCTGGCCTGCTGACTGCCGGACATGCCGGATGCCTTACACAGGGCTTCCAAAAAAGGAGGGGCGGCCCGGGTGTCTACCGGATAGCGGCAAGAATTCAGCGCCGGGGGTGGGGGCTTGCGAGTCAGAGTCCAGAGCTGCACAGCGCAGCAGGGACGTGGCCCGTGTAGGAGCCTCAGCCCAGATCGACCCAGGCTCCGGTCTTTCTAGCGCGCGCCGCTCCAGCTCTGCCGCATTAGGGTCGCCCACCGCCCAGGTCCCGCCCATCTACGTGCGACCTCTCCGGCCCCGCCCACAGGGAGCACTCCCGGCCCTGCCCCTCGAGCAACGGCCCCGCCCACAGGGAGCACTCACGGCCCCGCCCCTCGAGCCACGGCCCCGCCCACAGGGACCCCCGCCTGGGGCCCCGCGCCCGCCCACCTGGCCCTGGTGGTCCACGTAGTAGAAATACTCGCGGGTCCGGGGCTCGGGACTCTGGCCCTGCGTGTAAGAAACACCCCCGTCCACGCTGCAGGCTCGGGCACCCCGCGACCGCGCCAAGGCCAGGACCCGCAGCGCCCCGCACGGCGGCCACATTGTCCTTCCGCGCCGGAAGCGGCCAGCAGGTCACGCTGGGGGCGGTGCAGCGCGAACTCGCGCCCGCCCGCAGCAGGGGTCCCGCGCTTCGCGTTCCGGCGGCGCCCGCCTCCCCGACCCGGCCCGGCGCTCTTCCCTCTCCCCTCTCCCTCTGGCCTTCCGAGCGGTGCGGCCCCTTCTGGTCGCCCCGCGCCTCTTCCTGCCCCACGGAGGCCCCGCCGCGCCCCGCCCCACCCCCGGCCGCGCCCACAAGGAACTGGAGGCGGCGCAGGGTCCACGTGCACTTTATTCACGCGTGTCGCCGCCTGTCGGAACGAGCGCCTGCGGCCGGGCTGGGCCGCGACGGCCCGGAGACCACCCGACTGAGGACGCCGCCTGGGCCTCGGCAGGGCTGGGCCTTTTGTTTTTAATAAATAAAAACGAACTCTAAAAAATAGATATATAAAAACCGGGGAGAAATTAAGTTTTACAACAGTTGGAACTCAAAATTCCAAAATGGAAAATGTACAAACTCGGTCCCCCAGCAGCTCTGGCCTTGAGGACATGCAGTCCTGGGCGCGGCGCCTTCCCGCTCGTCTGCCGCGGGTCTGGGATGGGGTGGGGTAGGCTTGGTTTTTGGTCAGAAGCCAAGAAAAAAGACTGGAGAAGAAAAGAAGGAATGACAGCAACTTGCTCTGCACGGAGGACGGGGGCGGCTCAGAGATAAATAGCATTGAGGTTAAAACTATGTCATTAGCAAATTTAGTTCTTATATCTTTCCCTCTATTTATATCTCTATACACAGGTGGGCTGCGATGCAGGATAGATTCTGGATTTATAGTTACACGAAGAAAAAATACTCTCGCCCCTCCCCCGCCTGCCCCTAGAATGCTTGCCCAGCCCTGCCCCCTACCCCAGACGACTTTGGTTTGGGGGCCCCACCCCACCCACAGAGCGCCTGCCAGGCCCTGGGCCCACTGCCCTGGAGGCCCCAAACTCCTGAGCAGTCCCCAGCTGGGGACCGCAGGCCGAGCGGGGGAAAGAGGAGGCGGGGACAGGTCGGGAAGCTCCCTCGGGGCTGGGAAGAGCTGCAGGCCTGGAGGACAAGGACTGGAGAAAGGAAAGGAGAGACGGGGGCGGCCGGGCTAGGCCCAGGCCAGGGCGCGCGGGAGGCAGCCCGGCCCCAAGGCGGGCAGTGTCGCTCGGCTCCAGGACACAGAAGGCACTTTCTCGGAGCTGACCCGCGGCCAGCGGAGGGCGAGGCGGTACCCGCGGGAGCTGGCCGTGAGGTGGGGGGCCAGAGGCGCCCTCCCCGTCGCTGCTCTGCCCTGGTGCACCCTCAGATCAGGCAAAAGACCTGGGGAGGGCCGGGCCGAGGGCCTGGGGAAGAGGGGAGGGGGGCTCCGGTGCTGGGCCGGGCGATTTGGGCCCCTCTGCTGAGAGAGCCAGTGCGGGGTTCGGCCTGGCTGAGGCCGGTCCCATCCCCGGGCGCCCCCGCTACAGCACGCCCTCCATGAAGCTGGTGTCCAGGTGCTGGATGAGCACGCGCAGGAAGGACATCTCCTTGCGGGTGTTCTCGAAGATGACGCGCGGGTCGTCGGACTGGCAGCGAAGGCAGTTGGGCGCCATCACCATGGCCAGGTTGCTCACATCCATCTTGGTGACCGCCACGTTGGCCGGCTGCACGAACACCTGGCGGAGGAGCGATGATGGGCGCGGGGGGCGGGGCGGGGCAAGCAGCGGGGACCGGGGGAGGGAAGCCCGGCGGCCCGCCCGCGTACCTGCAGGAAGCGGATGAGGTAGCAGAGCACCATGCGGTTGATGCGGGGCAGGGCGTGCACCACGGCCACCGCCGCCTCGGGGCTGTCGTAATGCGCAATGCACTGCTCGTAGAACTCGTGCGGGATCAGGGGCTCCTCCAGCTCCCGGTACCACAGCTTCAGCAGGGACGCTGGGGACACAGCACGGGGCTCAGCTGGCCTGCTCAGCGGGCACCCCTGGGCCAAGTGGGGTCCAGTGGCAGTCACGCATGGAAGGGTGCTGTGGGTGACAGGCTGGACCCGGACCCCAGGGGGCCTTTCAGCTCCTAGGGGCCTGAACTTGATCCTGGAGGCATGGGGGATCATACCCGCAGAAACGTGCAAAACAGGACTTTTCTCAGGAGGAGCCTCTGCAGCTGCCGTGAGAGGTGTCTGCACAGCAGGCATGGCTGAAGGGCACCGGGGCAGAGAGCAGCAGGCTGGGAGTGGGCTGGACTGCAGTGTATAGGCAGAACTCGGGGTGCCTCGAAGACACCTGGGGAGACTGTTCAATGGGCAGGAGGATGTCTGTGCTGGGAGTGGGCTGGGAGGCCATCATGTCATTGGGCAGGGGGCATGATCAGGGTGGGCCCCAGAGGTGGAGATAGGGGCCCCTTGAGAACCACTGCCTGAGTAGGCTCCTCCCCTCCAGAGCATGCCAAGGACTCACCAGGGACGTGGGGGTCTTCCAGGCCTGTGGGCACCTTCCACTGGTCCACCTGCAGCTTCAGGGCATTCACCTCATCAATGTCCCCTGGGACCCTGCAGGGCACAAGACAGGTCTCAGGTTACAGGAGCCTGCGCCAGGGCTTCCCGATTCTGCCTGGACACTCGATCCTGCTGGCCCCTGCTGACCCGGGGTAAGGGAGCAGAACCTCAGGTCCCCTGCCACCCCCCCCCACCAGGCCTCTTTCCCGTGAAGATGGGTAGGTGGCAGTCTTCAGGATTCTGCCCCACACACCTGGGTCTGAGTGTGGCTTCCCCAGGTCCACTATCCCTCTCTGGACCGATGCTGGCTCCCTGTGTGGATGCTTTCTCCAAAGGACCACTGGGGCTCAAACCTGCAAGCCTCAGTTTCCCCAGCTGCCCCTCTGGTGAGTCGGGGGGCTGCCTGTCATCTCTGAGGCTGACACCTCCAGGCTGCCCATGGCTGGTGTCCAAGCATGCTCTAGACCCCTTGTGGCCATATCTGCAGGGGCACCCTCCCTCGTTGGCTGTGCTGCCTCTTCAGAATGGGTCCTGCCTTCTCTCTCTGGGCCTGCACACCCTCGGGGTCAGCTTCCACACTGGGGCCCCACCCTACCACCTACTCTCAGGTAGGGGTGCAGAAGCAGCCCAGTGGTCCTGAGGCATAATGTCCCCTGCATGCCAGAGATGTATGGATGACACAGGGCTGTGGCCCCTACACCCGGCACCCGGGGTTGCCACAGCACCTGAAGATGCCCTCTGTCTGGTCACCGTTGAGTGCCAGCACCTCCTCAGAGAGCCGCGTCTGCACCCAGGGCAGCTGGCGCTCAGGGTAGCGCTCCCGCTGCATGCCCATGACCTCCTGCAGCGCACTGCCAAACATGGATGGGCTGAACACGGCGTTCTTGGCATGCCGGATCTCCTCCACGTTGGGCTTCTTTAGCCCCTGTGAAGATAGTGGCTCCGTCCTGGTCTGGCCACCCTGCTCCCAGCCCTCCTCGTTCCCCAAACCCTAACTCCTCCTGGGCTGCCCCTGGCTCTGCCTCCCACTCCTCTCATCCCTGTGAACTCCTGGCTCCAACTAGACCAGGGACAAGCCCAGCTCCCTGGCCAGAGTCACCGCCTACAGCATCAGCTCTCGTAATGCCTTGGGAAGGTGGGAGTGACTTCTGGGCCAGCCAGGGCTGTTGGGGAGCACAGCAGGGTCCAAGCCTACTGATCTGGGGTGAAACGTCCAGAAGTCTGTGGCAGGGCTGAGAGCCCCAGTGTGATGGGAGTAGTGCATCAGGGAAGAGGGCCAGGATCTTGGACACGTCCAGGGGTGCCTGAGGGACTTCCCGGGTATAGGCGCTGTGCCAGGCTTGGGAGGACAGGATGGTACTGTCATGCCATGTGACTGAAGCCCTTTGCCTGCCCTGCTCCTAAGCTGGGGGTCTGGGCCTGGGGAAGAGCCCCCGGGGGAGGGTGCAGCCCAGGAGAGCACAGGGTCTGCCTGGCACACCCCTCCACCCGCCTAGGTGGGCTCTGTGTGGCACCCTCTGGACTGCTGCTCCACACCAAACTGCAGGCTAGGCCCCAGGCTGTTCACCAAGGGTCCCCGTGTCCACAACTGCCCATCCCGGTCTCCCAGTGCACTCGTACCTTCTTGGCCCCGGTGAGGGCTGCCTTCTGCAGCTTGTGGTAACAGTACTTGGCATATGTGCTTATCGCCACCCCTGGAAAGGAATGGGGCCCGATCAGCCTGGTGTGGATGTGTGAGCATGGGGCCGGGAGAGGTGTGAGCATGGGGCCGGGAGAGGTGTGAGCATGGGGCCGGGAGAGGAGCGAATAGACACAGCCCCTTCAAGGGCCCTGGGGGCTGCGCTGGGCTGGCCTGGCCACCCCCTGCCTACTGCAGCAGGTCCTCATGCTCTCCCAGGCAGTGTCCTTTAGAGCAGAGACCCAAGGGGCGCTTCCCCACCTCCAGATGGACAGTCTGGGGAGGAACCGCACTGGCAGCCCACCCACCCCTCCCATGGCCACGCAGGAACAGGAAGGGCAGGACCAGGGTCTGAGGGCCTCTAGACCCCACTCCTCTCTCCCTGGGCCTGACCCAGGGGGCTGTCCAGGTATTTGGCTCTTCTCTGCTTCAGGCCCCTCCCTGGCTTTGCGGCTGTGGGCAGGAGCCCCTGGAGGAGTCATTTCCACCTACCTAGCACCTGGGGCCAGTGCTGGGGGAGGCAGGCGCTGGGCTATTTGAACAGCAAGCCCAGCTCTGCTGCAGCCCTGGGCCTTAAACACCACCTTTGGGCTCTTCCGAAGGACTGAGGCGGCAATGAAAGGGCCCAGTCTCATTTCTCAAGGGAGGGGCTTTTAAAACTCAGCCCCTGACAGCAGGGACACCACTGATGATCCTTGAGGGGAGGGGCAGTGTGCCTAAGTCAGCACCTGGGCAGGGACTGGGGACCTCAGCCTGGAGGCTCCAGACACAGGGCCCAGGGTAAGGTGTAGAGGGGAGAGGATTCCCAGGCTGGGTCTGGAAGGCGCAGCACCCTCCCGCTCCAGGTGGGGAAGCAGCAGATGAGAGAACACACCGAGAAGCCGTCCTGGGCCAGGGGAGCCATGGGCCTCCGATAGGACCCTGTGCTTCCAGACATGGGAGCTGCCCCAGCGCCTACCACCTGCCAGGGTAAGGGGGGCCTGTGGATCCTGACCCCCGATTG